AACCCGTAAAAACTAGTTTTATTTAAGGAGTGATGTGCGTGAAAACCTAAGAAACAGTGTCATCAGCAAATGTGATCACTTTGGAGTTTGGAATTTCTACATCACACAAATTATTCACGTATATTAAGAATAACGTTGGGCCGAGTACCGAACCTTGCGGAACACCGAAATCTATTTTTAGTTTGGAACTTAAGTAATCCCCTATGCTTATCGTCTGTGACCTATTAGACAGATAATCCTTGAAAAGATTAAGAGGCAAACCTCTTATACCAATTGACTCCAACTTACGAATCAGCAATGAAATTGACACCGTGTCAAATGCTTTTGACATATCAAGAAATATACCTATGCATTTCTTTTTACTGTCAAGATTTTGTGCCACATTAGTTACTAAATTTTCAATAGCGTCCAAAGTAGATGTTTTCTTCCTAAATCCATATTGGTTATCAGAGATAATATTATTACTTTCAAGATAATTCACTAGCCTGTTCTTCATAAACTTTTCCACAATTTTTGCAGTAGTAGGTAAAAGTGAAATAGGACGATAATTGGCAACATTATCCTTTTCCCCAGACTTATACACAGGTACAACAATAGATTCCTTTAATACGTTTGGAAATATGCCAGAAGACAAACACAAATTAACTATATGAGTTAAAGGTTGGATGAGAAAATTTAAGTATTTTTTGATAAAAACAGATGATATTCCATCCCAGCCTGTAGAGTTGGTATTTTTTAACGACTTTACAATTCGATATATTTCTAATTCATCGGTTTCTAGCATCAAAAATGAGTTCACTGGTGTATTTTTAAATTTAAATTCATTTGCAAGTTCCGCTTCACTAAGTTTTAGTTTTTGTAGTATTTCATTTGATAATTTAGAACCAACATTAACGAAGTAATTGTTTATGTAATTAATAGAATCCTGTGCTGTTGTTTTAGTCTTCAATAATTCACTAGGGATTTGGGAACCATCGGATTTTTTTAAGTGGCAAACTCGTTTTATAACCTTCCAAGTCTTTTTGATGTCATATTTACTATCGCTTAACTCTATTTTATCATATTCATTTTTTAGATTGTGTAAAATATTATTGCAGTGGTTTCTGTATCTTTTGTACGTGAGTTCTAGGTCTTTATTATTATTATTTTTTAATTGTTTTCGATGTAAAGTATCTCTAAGCCGCATGCATCGTAATAAGCCCGGCGTTATCCACGGCTGAATCGTTTGCTGTCTATTAGGTACCAAATAAGTCTTTGTACTTACCTTAACAATCCTAGATAAAGTTTCGTTAAAGATTTCTGTTGCTTTATTGGGATCTGTCAATAATATAAAGTTTTTCCAATCAAATTCTTGTATTAGTTTGCTAACCTTGTTGTAATCAAGTTCCCTTGTCGTCTTTTTATGTTAATTTTTAAAACTTTTATTGAAAATTGGTACACTAAAATTAATACTTCTGTGATCAGTTATGCAAGAATGCCCAACCCATGGATGAAACTACAAATATATTCAGAAGAGGTAAAAATAATGGACCTATTATAATTAAATATCAAAATTCTAAGAAGAAAAAAAAATTCTGAAAGCTGTTAAAAAATATAACGCGGACAATAAAAATAATCCATTATGTACTGGGTATCAGCGGTGATAATAACCGAATATTTATATCTGAAGACCTAACACCCCTTTCAAGAAAGATCTTGGCAAGTGCTCGTGAACTCACGAAAAATGGATTATACAGATACTGTTGGGCATCGCGCGGAAATATTTTACTACGTAAAGATGACGGAGAGCTAGCCATTATTATCACATCCCTTAGTCAAATCAATGACTTGGTGGCGGAATGACTATCTTGGGAGGAACATCGTATAGACAAATATTGTGTTTTCGTATATGCTTGGAATATTGGTATGGTTGATATTTTAAATGACTTATGTTCTATCTGTTTTAGTTGCGATAATTTCTCTAGAATAGTTTTAATATTTTATACTACACATAATGCATTAACTGGATTAATATTGGATTTTATTATCAGTATTTATTATATATTCTAAATCAGTATGTTATATTTTTATCATTATATATTTACTTGTTTCTTACACTTAATTTTATTAAATTTATGTCCGATCGCACAAAACAAATATCCATTGACTACATGAATACCACTTTCGGAGGCTCTCACACTCAACCAAAAAGGTTGTACTGTTACTTAATAACATTTTTGCTATGGGTACTGATATGAATGAAGTAGTCACCGAGATTGATAATAATATCAGTATCGGTGACTCGTTTTTGGTTGAGGATCCGGAAGCATTTTCACAGTATAGTCTTGGAGCAGAACCATCTCTCAAAATTATTGTGCAGAATATTCGAAGTATACACAAAAATTTCGAAGACTTTACTGTTTTTTTAGCGAGGACTAAAGTTGATTACGATATTATTGTGTTGATTGAGTGCTGGCTGGCAAGGTTCTCATTCACTACGGACACTTGATCAATATAATTGTTTTTGTACCCACAATCATATTAATCAGAATAGTGGCGTAGTTGTATACATAAAAAGTCAAATAACTGGTGTTCTTGTTTACGAGCCCAATATGATCAATACTGACTGCTTAGTGGTAAAAATAGATAATACTCATACTTTTATTTGTATGTACAGGTCACCTTCGTTTACTATTATATCAAATTTTATTGAGTCCTTGGATGAGCTTTTGTGTGATCTTAGAAATGTACCTAATGTCTATTTAACTGGAGATATAAACATTGATATTTGTCCTAACAACAATGATATACGGTCTGATGAATACATGGATTTATTGGCCACGCACTGTCTTTTACCTAGTCATATATTTCCTACTCGTATTAATAAATGTCTGGACCATTGCTTCATAAGGTCGAGAGCTAAAAGTTTAACTGTGATCTGTGATTCTTGCATAACTGATCACAGAAGTATTAATTTTAGTGTACCAATTTTCAATAAAAGTTTTAAAAATTAACATAAAAAGACGACAAGGGACCTTGATTACAACAAGGTTAGCAAACTAATACAAGAATTTGATAAGAAAAACTTTATATTATTGACAGATCCCAATAAAGCAACAGAAATCTTTAACGAAACTTTATCTAGGATTGTTAAGGTAAGTACAAAGACTTATTTGGTACCTAATAGACAGCAAACGATTCAGCCGTGGATAACGCCGGGCTTATTACGATGCATGCGGCTTAGAGATACTTTACATCGAAAACAATTAAAAAATAATAATAATAAAGACCTAGAACTCACGTACAAAAGATACAGAAACCACTGCAATAATATTTTACACAATCTAAAAAATGAATATGATAAAATAGAGTTAAGCGATAGTAAATATGACATCAAAAAGACTTGGAAGGTTATAAAACGAGTTTGCCACTTAAAAAAATCCGATGGTTCCCAAATCCCTAGTGAATTATTGAAGACTAAAACAACAGCACAGGATTCTATTAATTACATAAACAATTACTTCGTTAATGTTGGTTCTAAATTATCAAATGAAATACTACAAAAACTAAAACTTAGTGAAGCGGAACTTGCAAATGAATTTAAATTTAAAAATACACCAGTGAACTCATTTTTGATGCTAGAAACCGATGAATTAGAAATATATCGAATTGTAAAGTCGTTAAAAAATACCAACTCTACAGGCTGGGATGGAATATCATCTGTTTTTATCAAAAAATACTTAAATTTTCTCATCCAACCTTTAACTCATATAGTTAATTTGTGTTTGTCTTCTGGCATATTTCCAAACGTATTTAAGGAATCTATTGTTGTACCTGTGTATAAGTCTGGTGAAAAGGATAATGTTGCCAATTATCGTCCTATTTCACTTTTACCTACTACTGCAAAAATTGTGGAAAAGTTTATGAAGAACAGGCTAGTGAATTATCTTGAAAGTAATAATATTATCTCTGATAACCAATATGGATTTAGGAAGAAAACATCTACTTTGGACGCTATTGAAAATTTAGTAACTAATGTGGCACAAAATCTTGACAGTAAAAAGAAATGCATAGGTATATTTCTTGATATGTCAAAAGCATTTGACACGGTGTCAATTTCATTGCTGATTCGTAAGTTGGAGTCAATTGGTATAAGAGGTTTGCCTCTTAATCTTTTCAAGGATTATCTGTCTAATAGGTCACAGACGGTAAGAATAGGGGATTACTTAAGTTCCAAACTAAAAATAGATGTGGTGTTCCGCAAGGTTCGGTACTCGGCCCAACGTTATTCTTAATATACGTGAATAATTTGTGTGATATAGACATTCACGTTATAAAATTAGATATGATCTGCGAATGGCCCAAGCATTTCGGTATTGTTGTCAATCCTTGTAAATGCCAGGCTAGCTATAATAATTATTGGTAGATTTCGTCAAATCTGTATCCTATATCATATAATGGCGTGTCAATCCCCTTTTCTCCCAGTGTTAACAATCTTGGTTTGCACAATGACAACACTTTTTGTTGGTTTTCTCATATTAATTAAATATGCGGAATTACAGACGCGTGACAATTATTATGCGTGACCTGCACAAATTTAGTCCAATCCCTTGCTCTACCGTTCATTGATTTGATTATGCCAATGATGTCGATTATGGCATGGTTCTTTAAAGCTAAACTTAAGTTTGACAACAGTGCATCCTTGTCATTCTCTATACAGAATGAAAAGGAGAGACTGATGTTAAATTTAGTTTTAAGTTTAGAGAATCACGCCAGAATCGACACCAATGTGTGCTATCCCGAATTAAACTAAGATATTTCTGCAACTGCATTCGTTTCATATTTAGTCTCCGAAAATATGACCACATATCTGCTTTTCATCGTAACCTAAATTCACCACTCCATTTTCTCTCTCTCTCGTCCATCTCATCTCATTATATTCTTTTAGAAATTCCCTATCACTGCTCCAATTTCGTATCCAACTCTCTTATAAGAATTATTGAGGATTAAAATCGTAGCGATGACACTTCTCTGTCTATGGGGTGAATTAAAAAGAAGACATTGAGGCTGAATGGAGTTTGTTCCCTTTGCCTTCCATAAGAGGGAGAAGATTGATGGATATAAAAAAAAAGAAATAAAAGGCGATTAAGTGTTTGTTGCTGAATTCCACAAAAGAAAAGGCCTCGGAAATTAAAGCGAAGGCCGTTGCATTTGTAAGTTTTGAAATAATATCACAGATATTGTAGCACTTCCTCCATTTAATGCGAAAAATATTTAATTTAGCGCTAGTGTCAACAAAGTTGATTCGAGATAGAATGAGAAATCCGATTACTGCAGCTGTCATTGTCATATTTTTACTAATGACTGATTGCTCATCTCAATAAAGTGTAGAAGAATTAAACAGGGCAAAACAATTAAATTTTATTTCATAAACATCGGTAATACAATTAATATTTAACAAACTACTAGATCAAAATCTCAGATTTAAGTAGGTACCTACCTAAACGAATATTTATTTGCTCGTGTTTTGTGACGCGAATGACGTTTACTTTTAGTCGGATTGAATAAACTGAATTCTAATTCCAGATGTAAATGAGAGTAACAATGAAGTATTCTTCCAACTGCAAATGAACAGTGAAGAAATACGCACTATTATTATATTATTTTGTTGGTATAGAAGATTGTAGCCGTAACAATGAAGAGTGCACTACCTAAAGAAAAATCGGGGAAGATGAGGATCAGAGCTTTCCCTGTAAGTTTAATTTTAATGTCTTGGTTGCATATTTGGAATTATGATATTTATAAAAGAACACAATGTTTGTTTGTATTTATTTCTCTTGCTTGAAATGTAATGCTCTCACTGCCATAATTTTTATACTGTATGTATGTAATCATTCTACCTACATGAAGTGTTAGTTACTCAGTAATTAATGAAAGACAGGATATGGTCAAAGTGTCTCCTTATAAACAGGGTGTAAAAACCCAAATTAATATAGTTCTGTGCAGTCAATAATATCTAATAGTCAAGTAATAACTCTGCAGTATTTTTGAAAATGATTCATTATTAAGTTTTTTTATCTCTCATTAACAGTTCAGCTAAAGTTAAATAATTTTAAGGATGTTGACATAGTAGACATTACAGACATACACATATTTTATAAACAAAACTCACTGTAACCATAGTGTAAATTTTCCATGATAACACCTCAACTATTCACAATATTTCACACTAAAATATGGCAATTCTCAATGTGTCATAAAATTTAAAAATAGAAATCATCAAATTTCAGTTTAGAACAAAATTTTGTGTGTATTATGTCATAAATATATTTTGACAACTGTAAAATCAAATAATAAACTAAATTAGAATTGATAATCAATGTTATGTTTTTATTTTGTACAATGTTTGTGTAAGAATATTTTAAATTAATTATTTCATAATGACAAGAAAATTTCAAGTATGGAACTACTCGGAACCATATTACCAAATGTATCCAGATACCTGGGTTAGTGATTTTAGTGTGCAGATATTTCTTAGTAAAATTATAAAATGTTGACCAACTTGTGACCATAAAATCTGAAAAGGATCTGAAACACAAGAATTGTGTAAAACCTTCATTAAACAAGCTTAATACATTAGTAGTGTTTTAGTGATTGAAGTGTATTGCTTGACATAAGTGTGTTTGAAATTTTGTCTATATAAGAATACATAATAATAATAAATAATACATTGCTACTTGTTATTTTATCTTTCTTGGAGATATTTTAAGTTAGTATATTCAAATTTATTTTTACTCAGTTTCATTAGTAATAATGATGAAGGTAAAAACAATAGCACAATACAAAGCTATTTAGTTGTATTCCATGAATCATGTTATGTATGCAAACTGTTAAGATAAGACATGCTTAAAATTTATACTTGTACAAAGCTTGGGCCTGTTCCTGTCTGTATTTCAAAAAATCTCCTTTGTATTTTTGACTGATAAATTTTAGTATTCAGCTATTTAAGAATATGAGGATTTTGGTACAACTTGGCTTACAAATAATTGAAATGCATTTAATGAAAAGGCAATATCTTTTAGACATGTTTGGACAAATGGAAATAACTTTTAACAGTCATGAATGGATCAAAGTCCCTTGATATCTATCAAGTTTGATTCCTATTCAAGCATGTATTAATCATAATCACCCTTGCATAACATGTTATTTCAAATAAAAAGTCTTTACTTACAGATGACTATGGATGAAAAATATGTGGAGAGTATATGGAGTTTATTGAAAAATGCAATACAAGAGATACAAAAGAAAAACAACTCTGGTCTCTCATTTGAAGAACTCTATCGTAATGCTTATACTATGGTTCTCCATAAACATGGTGAAAGGTTGTACACAGGCTTAAAGGAAGTTGTCACTCATCACTTAGAAACTAAGGTAAACCTTATGCTTTAATTATCTATTTCACTATGCAGAAGTGTTTAGAAAACTATTATTTGGTTTTCTTATAATACATTTATTGAAGTACAATAGAAAAGAAGTATGAGTGCAAACAAATTCCATAGAATGCTTGTTCTCATATTTATGAATCTAGAAAAAAAACAATGACCCAAATCAAGAGATGTGTACTGAGCTTTGATATTTAAATGATTGTCATTAACATTTCAAAACATTTGACTCTTTTGTTGTGGTTATTCCATTTTTACTTATACATTTATAGACTGATTATGCTGTTGATGAAGAGTTTAATTAGAATTGACACCTTTTTTCTTCTGAAGACCTTGGCATAGGTACTAGTGAACTGTGTGACTGTGTGTGGTAATTTTTCTGCTATCCATTAATGAAGTCTTTCCTTATAAACTTTTAGGTCAGAGAAGATGTTCTCCATTCACTACATAACGGTTTCCTGCAAACTCTCAACAATGCTTGGACAGATCACCAAACTAGCATGGTTATGATTCGTGATATACTTATGTATATGGACAGGGTATATGTCCAACAGAATGAAGTTGACAATGTTTACAATCTGGGACTTATAATATTTAGAGACCAGGTAATTATCATTCATATTATAGATTAATGTGACACTGATTTTGTGCTATGAATGAAATAAAATGGACTAACCTACGCTCCAGGTGCAACAAATGCCAAATTCCATAGAAATTTCAAACATTTATCTAAAAATTTAAACGTCAGAGTGAAAAGTTGCACTTGGAGCGTAGGTTTGGAACGCATCCAAGCAGTCATAAGAACACCGCGTTTTTTCGATTAGAACATCGCACGCCTTATTGCGAAATATTAAGTTTTCGCGGTATATTTAAAGAATAGATGTTTATTTTTTATTTATTTGTGTAACAGAAAATGTATCTACCCAGTGTCTAGACATCATATTGGTTATATCATCGTAATGACTTCTAATATTATAGATTGTTGCGAAAATGGCTTCTTTGTGCTTACATTACCTTTTATCATTGTGGTGCTAAAAATTGTTTTAAAGGATACTGATACTAAATTATTTATTCTTGCATTTTATAGATTTACTTATTAAAATGTGCGTTCATGTTAAGGTAAATTACCATACAAAGTGGGCATTGCCCTTTAAGGGTCAACAGGGAGTAAGAAATAGCCCTCCCATAAAATCCAGTAGTATAGTAAATCTTCGTTATGCTGACTTGACTTAAAAATTCAATCTAATAATCTAGTTCCAATAATTCCAAATCAATTTAGCAGAGCCTCAAAGTAATCACTGGGGCTGATTCTGTCATGATTCTCTAAACCTAAAATTCAATTCATCATCATCAATCATCAACAGCCTATCATAGTCCACTGCTGGACATAGGCCTCTCCAAATGCACGCCACTCAGATCGATCTTTGGCTACTCGCATCCAGCTCCTGCCAGCCACCTTGCGCAAATCGTCACTCCATCGTGCCTGAGGACGTCCTACACTACGTTTGCCTAGACGCGGTCTCCACTCCAGAACTCGTCTACCCCAACGGTTATCGGTTCTTCGGCAAATATGGCCAGCCCACTGCCACTTCAACTTGCTAATCCGGTGGGCTATGTCGATAACTCTGGTTCTCTGTCGGATTACCTCATTTCTGATGCGATCTTTCAGAGAAACGCCGAGCATAGCCCTTTCCATAGCGCGTTGAGCGACTTTGAACCTGTGGATCAGCCGTGCCGTCAGTGTCCACGTCTCGGCTCCGTATGTCATCACAGGTAGGACGCACTGATTGAAGACTTTCGTCTTTAGGCACTGTGGGATCGACGATGTCAGGACTTGACGTAGCTTCCCAAACGCTGCCCAACCTAGCTGAACTCTTCTATTCACCTCGTCCTCAAAGTTGTTTCTACCTAACTGCAATGTCTGCCCGAGGTATACATATTTTTGAACAACTTCGAGAACGGCACCGTGTATTGCAATCGGTTCCGGTAGAACATGTTCATTGAACATGACCTTGGTTTTATCCAAGTTCATCCGTAGGCCGATGCGTATAGAAGAGTCAGCCAGGTCATTCAGCATCTGCTGTAGGTCCTGCAGGGTTTCTGCCATGATGACGATGTCGTCTGCAAATCGCAAGTGAGAGATGCGTTCGCCATTTATGTTGATGCCATGTCGTTTCCAGTTCAGCGTCTTGAACATATCCTCCATTGCATTAGTGAACAATTTCGGGGAAATAACGTCCCCTTGTCTCACTCCACGATGCAACGGTATGGGACTTGTTTGCTGATTCTGTACTTGGACAGACATGGTGGCGGCTTCGTAGAGACATCTTATCACTTGGATGTATCGCCAGTCGACTTGGCAACGCTGCAGGGACTCCAGGACAGACCAGATTTCAATCGAGTCAAAGGCCTTCTCATAGTCCACAAATGCTAGGCACAGGGGCTGATTGTACTCCTCAGTCTTCTGTATAATCTGCCGCACTGTGTGGATGTGGTCTATGGTGCCGTATCCACTCCGAAACCCAGCCTGTTCCGGTGGTTGGAAGTCATCAAATCTTCGCGCAAGACGGTTCGCGATCACTCTTGAAAACAGCTTATAGACGTGGCTTAGAAGGGATATGGGTCGATAGTTCTTAAGTAGGGTCTTGTCCCCCTTTTTAAAGAACAAGACGACCACACTCCTACTCCACGCTTCCGGAGTTCTCCCTTCGAACAGGACAGTGTTAAAAAGCTTTTGGAGCTCCCTCAGTACGGGTTTACCTCCAGCCTTCAAGAGTTCTGTTGTAACACCATCCTCTCCAGGGGCTTTTCCGTTTTTAAGCTGTCCAAGAGCAATCTCGATTTCGCCAATACTGACTTCTGGCAGGTCTTCGGTGAAGTGGCGTGTTAATGTGGCTCTAGAATCCTCATTTCCGGGATCAGGTCGAGATGCATGTGATGCGTATAACTGGCTGTAGAAGTCTTCCACTTCCGAAAGGACTGCCGGCTTTGAAGCAACAACTTCCCCACTTGCTGTGGTCAACTTCGTCAGATGGCTTCTTCCAAGAGATTGTACGAACACTTTGGACCCTCGATTCTGCTCGATCGCTCTCTCGATCGAGAGAGTATTGGAGCATCGGAGGTCGTGTCGTACGTGCTTACTGATCTCTTGGTTTAGAGTCCGCTTTGCCGACGAAGTGACGGGTGGGTTTTCACGTCGTTCCTTCATTAGCCCTAAAGTCTCTTCCGAAAGCTTTGACTTCCTGCCCTTACGCTGCGTTGCACATAGTTTCGTACCCTCTTCCCTGAGAATCCGAACCACATTTTCGAGGTTTTGGTTTACGTCTGATGTGGTTTCCACGGCAGCAAATCGGTTCTCCAGATTTGACTGGAACGTTTCAGATCCTGTTATAGATTGGAGCAAAGTAGGTTGGAGCCTGGATTTCATTAAACGGACGCGCTCGGCCTTAAAGTTGATATTCAGAGAGCCCCGAACGAGTCGGTGATCACTACCGGTATTAAACCTGTTGATCACGGAGACGTCTCTGAATATGTACCTCTTGTCCGTCATGATGAAATCGATCTCATTTTTAGTCATAGTGTCGGGGCTCTGCCATGTCCACTTCCTTTGGGGCTGTTTCTTGAAAAAAGAGTTCATCAAGAAGAGCCCCTGCTGTTCGAGGAAGTTGACGAGCATTTGCCCCCTATGATTTCTGCTTCCAAATCCATGGGATCCTACTACCGATTCGCTGCAATTCTGTACTTTAGTTTACTGTCCCACTTTAGCGTTGAAGTCCCCCATAACAACGTTGTAGTGGGTCTTAGTAGTGGAGTGGAGAGCCCTCGATATATCATCGAACATATCCTCCACTTCGTCGTCCGAGTGTGTCGAGGTCGGTGCGTACACTTGCACCACCTTGAGGCTATACCTCTCGGTGAGCTTTATAATAAGGTACACTACCCTGTTCGACACGCTGGACATTTCCACAATGTTATCGGCAAGGGACTTATTTACCAAAAACCCAACGCCACCTTGGGACTGTTGGTCTCCCCCGCGGAAGTACATTAGGTGGCCCGATTCGAGGGTTATGGTGTCCTCCCCCTCTCTTCGGACTTCACTTAACCCTAAAATGTGCCACCTAATCTTTCCAAGTTCCACCTCGAGTTGCGCCAGATGCGAGTCAAGCCGTAGCGTGCGTCCGTTGTACGTCGCCAGGGTCAGTCTTTTGTGGTGGCCTCCCGTAGCCCGGAGATTCTTGGCACCCCCCGCCCCACCGTTACCGTGGTCGCCACCGTGACCAGGAATAGCGGGGCTGCCGGGAACTGAGGGCCGTGGCTTGAGTTTCTTGTGCATGAAGGTTTTGCCCATAATCGCCACGCTGGGCAGGCGGGTTGGCGATCGCAGAGCGTAGGTTTATTTACTGATGACGCTGCTGCCCGTCACCAGTGACATTTTCCTCCCCTACGTCATTGGATGGTTATACCGCCATCGGTCGGTTTGCCAGAGCCTCGTCTGTTGGTCAACAGGGTGCACCACGTGAAGGTGAGGTTGGCTTGGGTTCTTGCAGGTGTATTTAGAACCCCTTACACCCTAAATTCAATTATACAAACATTATTTGTTTTATATATATATATATATATATGTAAAGGAGGTGTAAAGAAAAGTACTGCTTCAAATTTATCTAGTTTATATTTAAATAAAAATAAGTAAATTCAAATTAAATATCTACATCTTACATGTTAAATTAATATTTATTGAACAATACCTGCCGGAGAGTGTTATTTTCACTTTTACTGGATCAAAACTTAATAAAAACTACACCTCACTGCCCTGCTGATCATAACCTAATGGACGCCATACAAGACTCCCTGTCTCAACTCCAGCGAATGTTCACTGAGAGGATGAACAACTATGAAAACAACCTTCAAGCTGCCACCCCGACATCCACAGTTGCCAGCCTCACTGCAGAATTTTCAGCTTTTCGAAGTTTCGTTTTGACTTCTATTCATAGTCTTCAAGACCAAATTAATTTTCTTGCGCGTCAGGTGGACAGCATGGAAATGCACAGCCGAAGAAAGATCCTGCTGTTTCACGGGCTACCAGAATCTTCGGAGGAGGATGTTACTGCTGTTGCTGTGAAGGCCATCGCTAGTCAGTTGCAGATATCATCTTTCTCAGCCAAGGATGTCAGTCGCTGCCATCGAATGGGTCGATTCACTAACAATGATCACCCACGACCCCTTGTAGTGAAGTTATGTGACCTTGACATGCGAAACAAGATTTGGTTTGCCAAAACAAAATTGAAAGGGTCCCGTATTACTCTATCCGAGTTCCTGACAAAAGGCAGGCATGACACTTTTATGGCTGCGCGCGACAAATTTGGTGTGAATAAGTGCTTCACAAGGATGGGGTTTGTTTTCGTCATTGGTGGTGACGGAAAGCGTCACCGTATCAGCTCCCTTACTGAGTTAAACAAAATCCCAGTTCCAGTAGTGGTGACCCCGGAATCGCCGAAGCCTGTTGGGCAAACATCCAGCTGTACCAGCTCACAAACTGAGGTAAATAAAGTCGCAGCTCCAAGTACAGGGAAGGCTGAATCACCGAAGCCTGTTGCCCAAATCTCCACCAGGGGCAAGCGTACGGTTACTGCATCAGTTAAAAAGTAGCTTTAAGTGATTTTATTGTGTTTTATGTTATCGTGTGTTCGAGCCGCTTTTTGTTCCGTGTTTGTACTCGTTCTGTGGATCATCTTATTATACTGTTTCCTTGCACTTCAATTTGTATCCATATATTAAAACTTATTTTGTTCATCACCATTCGATTAATCATAAATTGAAGGTAAATTAAATTTGTAAACTTCTGCGTATTGTGACAGACTGACTGACATTGACATATCGTTTCACCTTTTCTCACGTCAAATTATTTATAAATTTTTCATAACGTAGGCATAAGTTTTAATGTTTCATACAGCCACGTAATACTTTTTATTTTTTATGTCAATTTATTTGACTTAGATCCACAGACTTAAAAGTTGCAAACTGAAATTTTAATAGTATTTTAATGGGTTTTTCAATGTTATTTTGTATATTGGTACCATACATAACTTCATTTACCGTGCTATGTTATCCACTCAACCGGCAGGTGGAGCATATTAAGTATTTAGTGCTTATTTTGTTCCAACTGTTACTTAGTTTTTAACTTTTTATTATCTATTTATTATTATATATTGTATTTATTTTGTGTATGACTAGTTCAGAAAAAGATAGCGATGACTCGTTTCAGACCTTGTCACCGGTTAGTGACTGCACAGATGCTAGTTTTGTCAGTATGCCTTCCCTTTCCGACTGCATCGATGGTGAGTTTTCTGATGTTCCTAAAAACTTTAACGTGGTTCACATTAATGCGCAAAGTATTCCGGCTCATTTTACTGATATGCTAGCGTCTCTCAACCACAAAAACCTTCATGCTGTTTTAGTCTCCGAATCCTGGCTTAAGCCTTCTCTGCCCTCTTCATTCTATACTTTACCTGGTTTCCGTTTGATACGTAATGATCGAATTGGTTCTCGAGGTGGTGGAGTTGCAATTTACTTACGTACTCATATTCCCTTTACTATAATTAGCTCCTCCACACAGCCTCCTCCAGCGAATGCTGGCGAACATCTACTACTCGAGGTTCTCCTGTCACATACCAAAGTCCTTCTCGGAGTCTATTACAGCCCCTCTTTAAATGTTAACTTCTTCAGTTCTTTTGAGCAGCTCTTAGGAGATGTTGTCCCATCTTATAGCCATTCATTGATAATGGGTGATTTCAATACCTGTCTTCTGAAAAATGATTTCCGTTCTGCCTCCCTTAATTCTGTTATTAGCTCTTGTAATCTTCATATTCTTCCACTTAATGCCACTCATCATTTCCCAAACTCATCTCCTTCACTTCTTGACTTAATTATAGTCTCTTCTCCTCATCTTGTCATGAAGCATGGTCAATGTTCGGCTGATGCCTTTTCATACCATGACTTAATTTTCTTATCCTACAAAATTCGTCCTCCCAAAATTAAACCCAAAGTCATTCTTCAGCGTAATTTTGGTGGTATGGATAGGGAAGCGTTTCTTATTGACGCTCAAAATACTGATTGGTCGCCGGTAACTGATGCGGAGTCTGTGGACGAGCAAGTTGAGACCTTTAATTATATCATTACTCAACTTTACGACAAGCACGCCCCTTTTCGTCTCATCAAGCTTAAACATGTTCCTGCGCCCTGGCTTACCCCAGATATTAAAGAACTTATGCACAAAAAGGATGTTGCTAAATGCAAATACAAACGCCGTTCAACAGATGCAAACAAGGTTAACTATGCTAGAGCTCGTAATCACTGCAATTTGGTGTGTAGGGATGCCTTACGTCGCCATATTCATGTTTCCGTCGATAATAAAGATCCAGCAAAAGTCTGGAATTTCCTCAGGTCTCTTGGAATTGGTAAGTCCCGACAAGAATCTATTCCTAGTAGCATTAACGTTGATTCACTCAACCTTCATTTCTCTTCATGTTCTAGTCTCAGTGATTCTAACAGGACTAATACTTTAAAGTTTCTTTCTTCGTTACCAGTTCCTGACTACTCTCCTTTTGTCTTTACTCAATTCACTGAATGTGACGTTAAGAAAGGTATGCTTTCTATCTCCTCCAATGCGGTGGGGAACGATGGCATTAGTCGCAACATGTTGGTACCAATCCTAGATATCATTCTTCCTATCCTTACTTTCCTATTTAACAGTTCGATTTTCAATGCTGTCTTTCCATCAGTTTGGAAGCAAGCTCAAATTATCCCACTCCCTAAAAAATCGAGCCCCCAATCCACCGCCGATTTTCGCCCCATCTCTATCCTACCCTTCCTATCTAAGGTCCTTGAACGCCTCGTCCACAACCAATTTAATATGTTCCTATCTCGCCACAACCTTTTTAATCCTTTCCAATCTGGTTTCCGTCCCGGCCATAGTACTACGACTACCTTTCTCAAAGTGACAGATGACATACGCCTTGGGATGGATAATGGTCTCCTCACGGTATTAACATTGTTGGACTTCAGCAATGCTTTTAACACCGTCAATTTTGACGTTCTTTTGGCATTGCTGCGCTCACTTAACGTATCTCCGTCAGTGATTGAGTGGTTTCACAGTTATCTGTATGGGCGCAGGCAGCGCGTTTGCCTTGAGGAGAAATTTTCTTCTTGGAGCGACACGACTGCTGGCGTTCCGCAAGGCGGCGTCTTATCTCCTCTTCTTTTCGCTGTTTTAATCAACTCCGTCTCTAATAATATTTCTTCTTCCTACCACCTATATGCAGATGACCTCCAAATCTATCGCCAAGCATCACTTCGTCAACTTGGAGATGCGGTACGAGCCACTAATAGCGATCTACATACTATATCAGAGTGGAGCAAATCCTTTGGATTGCAACTGAATCCCTCTAAAACTACTAGCATAATAGTAGGTAGTTCTAGGATGATAGATAGAGTAGAATGGCAGTCTTTACCCAATATCCAGCTGGCTGGTGAAATTGTCCCTTTTAGCGCATCGGTAAAAAACCTGGGGTTGACTTTCGATAATTGTTTGAGCTGGGGTCCACAGATGCAAGTGGTCAGCCGCAAATTGTTTGCTTCAGCAGCTTCGCTTAGAAGACTACGTAATTTCCTACCCATCACTACTAAAATTACACTAGCACAGTCGTTGTTGCTTCCCATTCTTGATTATGCTGACGTCTGCTATCTTGATCTTACCGAGGACCAGCTAAATAAGCTTGAGCGACTTCAAAACTTTTGCATCCGCTTCATATTTGGCTTGCGCAAATATGATCACGTTTCTCAATTTCGTTCGCAACTCAAGTGGCTACCTATTCGTCTTCGCCGGAATGCTCATATTCTTGCTCTCCTTTACAATATATTGTTTAATCCTAAGACCCCGCGCTATCTCCAGGAATGTTTTAATTTCCTTCACACTTCTAACACGTTATCCCTTAGGTCATCAGAAAATCTTACTCTCATGACTCCTGTACATGCTACAACATTTTATAACCGTTCGTTTGCAGTGCGTGCCGTACATTTGTGGAATTCTCTCCCAGTTACCATACGACGTGCAGAATCTATCCACGCTTTTAAAAACCTCGTAAAGTCCCATTATTTGTCCTTATAACTTTTGATGTTAATCTTATTTGTGACTACTACCAACTGAACTAGATTTGTTTATTTATGTGTATGTATGTATTTATTTAATATATTTAATATATAATTATATTTATATTTATGTATGTATATAATTGTATATATTATCACCTATATCACTCAAGTGATTTACACCGCCGTCTCTCCCACTTCCTTCTAGTCCTCTCCATCCAAAGGTTGTCTGGAAGAGATCGCTCTAAGCGATAAGGCCGCCCATTGTTACACTAGTTTTAATTGGTTATGTACTAAATTTAATGTTATATGTGGTGTACAATAAAGTGTTTTGTATTGTATTGTATTGTATTGCATTGTATTGTATATATATATATATATATATATATATATATATATATATATATATATATATATATATATATATTACATGTAATACTGCCATACCATTTAGATTGTAGATTAAACAAATAACTATGATTAAATTCAGTTTATTTTATAATTTTAATATAATATGAAATGGATTAATAGAAATGGCCTAAATGTTGGCTCCATCTGAGTAAAACATTAGAAAATTGAGTGTCTACAGAGAATCATGCCAAAATCAGGCCCAATGTAAGGTTAGTGTTATGGTTATAGGTTTGATTCGAACCCGGGACTAATGAGGAGGCGACACTTTGACACTCGGCGTACATACCACTCGACTCACGGAGGTCGTTTATTATAGATTATGTGCTCTAATTTCTGTCAGGTTGTGCGTTACGGTTGTATCCGTGACCATCTACGGCAGACGTTGCTGGAGCTAGTGGCCCGGGAACGCCGCGGCGAGGTTGTGGACCGGCTGGCCATACGGAACGCCTGCCAGATGCTCATGGTGCTCGGCATCAATTCGCGCTCTGTATACGAGGAGGACTTCGAGAAACCTTTCTTGCATCAGTCCGCTGAGTTTTACAGAGTAAGTGATTGACACCATAATGATTTTATTACCAGACACTTAAATAAGTAAAGTGAGTAAAATAAAATAAGTTTACGTGCCTGTGCTACCTGATACCTGAAAATTAGCCCACAGCACAAGTTAGCAAGTATGTATATGTTCATTGTAATACTACTCAATTATCCATATTTTGTCTATGAGAAAATAAGTAAGCTCTAGGGGTCTTTGGATCTTGTACTGTATTATTGACTAGATTAGCCCGTGACTACGTTCGCGTGTACTTTAGAAATCAAAAACCCCCTACAGAACCCAGATCGCACTTAGTTAGAACGCTGACAGCTGACTTGAGCTTGGTTCTTTGTTGCAGATGGAATCTCAAAAGTTTCTGGCGGAGAACAGCGCGGCTGTGTACATCGCCCGCGTGGAAGCACGCATCGGGGAAGAAGCGGAACGAGCACGCCACTACCTTGACGAGACCACCGAGCCGCGCGTCGTGGCCGTGCTCGAGCACGAACTCATCGAGCGGCACATGAAGACCATCGTCGAGGTAACAAACGCGCCCTATACAGCGGCGAGACTGAACGAGCGAGCCTCTACCTCGACGAGACCACCGAGTCGCGCGTCGTGGCCGTGCTCGAGCACAAGCTCATCGAGCGACACATGAAGACCATCGTCGAGGTAACAAACGCGTCCTACACAGCGGCGAAGCTGAACGAGCGAGCCTCTACCTCGACGAGACCACCGAGCCGCGCGTCGTGGTCGTGCACGAGCACGAGCTCATCGAGCAGCACATGAAGACCATCGTCGAGGTAACAAACGCGTCCTACACAGCGGCGAAGCTGAACGAGCGAGCCTCTACCTCGACGAGACCACCGAGCCGCGCGTCGTGGCCGTGCTCGAGCACAAGCTCATCGAGCTACACATGAAGATCATCGTCGAGGTAACAGACGCGCACTGTACAGCGGCGAGCCTCTACCTCGACGAGACCACCGAGCCGCGCGTCGTGGCCTTGCTCGAGCATGAGCTCATCGAGCGGCACATGAAGACCATCGTCGAGGTAACAGACGCGTCCTATAGAGTAGCGAGGCTAATCAAGCGAGCCTCTACCTTGTCGATACCACCGAGTCCCGCGTCGTAGCCGCTTGAGCACGAGCAGCTTATCGAGTTTTTTTCGGTTTCCGGTCGCTGTACCATCAGCCACCTTCATTGTGCTTACTTCAGGACCAGACCTTCGATGTGAATGTTACAGAGACAGAGTATGAAGCAGCACTCACATGTAATTGAAAACTCTCTGAAAAGATAAAAAACAGCCAATCATCATCATCAGCCGATAGACGTCAACTGGTGGACATAGGCCTCTTCAAAGGATTTCCATACACAATGGTCCTGTGCCAAATAGCCAATACTGCTACTGCTACCAATACAAATTATGGGGCTAACCGATGGACTCTGCCCTATATCATCTCTGTCAAGACAAATTTTGGTAGATTTGTTTAATATGTTAATTCTCTGTGTCTAAGGAGTGTAACCAGGGCCGGATTTAAGGCAGGGCAGGTGGGGCTGTGGACCAGCCCACAACACAGATGAAAAAAACAAGGGGTGGTGGTGCCAATCGTAAATGGCTTTGAGTGTCAGATTTTTAAAATACGCTTTCGATAGGGGGGATACCCAACACTTTCCTTGTCCCAAGGCCGGCACAACTCTAAATCCGCTCCTGAGTGTACCAATTAATTATTATTTAACAATAATAATGTTTGAGAGGGAGAAAATGAGTTAAATAGCCTCTTCATTGTCGCAGATGGAGAACTCGGGCGTGGTGCACATGCTGATGCACACCCGCACCGCTGAGCTCGCGTGCGTGTACAAGCTGCTGTCGCGCGTGCCTGAGGGGCTGCGCACCGTCGCCGACGCCGTGTCCGCGCACCTGCGCGAGCAGGGCCGCGCGCTCGTCACCGACACGCACCACAACACCAACGCCATCGCGTTCGTGCAGGCATGTGTCTACACCACACACACAAACACATACAGCTGACGCGCGTGCCCGAGGGGCTGCGCCCCGTCGCCGACGCCGTGTCCGCGCACCTGCGCGAGCAGGGCCGCGCGCTCGTCACCGACACGCACCACAACACCAACGCCATCGCGTTCGTGCAGGCATGTGTCTACACCACACACACAAACACATACAGCTGACGCGCGTGCCCGAGGGGCTGCGCCCCGTCGCCGACGCCGTGTCCACGCACCTGCGCGAGCAGGGCCGCGCGCTCGTCACCGACACGCACCACAACACCAACGCCATCGCGTTCGTGCAGGCATGTGTCTACACCACACACACAAACACATACAGCTGACGCGCGTGCCCGAGGGGCTGCGCCCCGTCGCCGACGCCGTGTCCACGCACCTGCGCGAGCAAGGCCGCGCGCTCGTCACCGACACGCACCACAACACCAACGCGATCGCGTTCGTGCAGGCATGTGTCTACACCACACACACAAACACATACAGCTGACGCGCGTGCCCGAGGGGCTGCGCACCGTCGCCGACGCCGTGTCCGCGCACCTGCGCGAGCAGGGCCGCGCGCTCGTCACCGACACGCACCACAACACCAACGCCATCGCGTTCGTGCAGGCATGTGTCTACACCACACACACAAACACATACAGCTGACGCGCGTGCCCGAGGGGCTGCGCACCGTCACCAACGCGATCGCGTTCGTGCAGGCATGTGTCTACACAATACACACAAACACATAGAGCTGACGCGCGTGCCCGAGTGGCTGCGCACCGTCGCCGACGCCATGTCCACGCACCTGCGCGAGCAGGGCCGCGCGCTCGTCACCGACACGCACCGCAACGCGATCGCGTTCGTGCAGGCATGTGTCTACACCACACACAAACACATACAGCTGACGCGCGTGCCCGAGGGGCTGCGCAACGTCGCCGACGCCGTGTCCGCGCACCTGCGCGAACAGTGTCTACACTGAAAGAGCCACACTCGAACGAACAAGACGATTCTTCATAGCAACCTGAGAGGACCTCCCCCCGTCTTTTAGTTATCTTCCGTCATTTATTATAACTTGGCTGTTCTCGCACAGGCTTATGAATCAAACTATCGCATTCATACACACGCATTCGTATACACATACACGCTCCGCTTACATTCAGCCAATGCCATTGCTGTTTGCCTTTCTTTATAATATTACTTTAGTAACGCCTAAGGCATTGTGTTCACATTTTCACGTCGTATTGCTTTTCAACTTGACTAATGACAAGAAAGCTGAAAGAGGTTGTGAAAATGAGCGGCATAGAGTTGCTTCTATGCTCTCTGATATCTGAACGTAACCGCCTTTTGGAGGAGCGACATGCTCGCAATGCGCCAAGTAGCTCCATGCTATTTGCTTCAAGAATGAACTGGGTGTAAAGGGAAATGAAATACATACACATGACGACCAACCCGAACAAGGTGGACAAGTCTTGTTTATTTTTAACGATTAGTTTATGGGACTCCCGCCATGCACCTGCGAGACCCGCTACACACACAATAGTAACAATAATGAAAACAAAGAAATCATATCCCCCCTGGTTTTCGGGCTCATTCCTATAGATTTTAAAGGAAAAAGAAAAATACCATAAACAAATCAAAATATTTGATAATCTGCGGGATTTTGACGTTTTTTCAATGCTAGGGCTAAGGCAACTTACGGTAATTGTCTAAACTTGAAGGTGACTTGAAAAATAACATTAAGTTGTTTTGTAGCTATGCTATATCTGAAGCACAAACGATCTACCAAAACAAATTCTTATGGTTGTGATCTTGCTGACAATGGTTGTGACATAGCTAATCTATTGTGAAATACTTTACGTCAGTGTATACGTATAGTGAGCCTTCCACAAACACGTACTCATCCGACTTTCCTGAGCCAAGTACGGCTATTACACCATTGCCATCACACACAGTGAAATAGAACTGGCTCTGAAAACATTGGACGTATCAAAGGGCCCAGGATCGGATGGCATCCCTATCTTTTTGAGAGCGTGCGCAAAAACTTCAGTTGACATATTATTTAACAAAAGTCTCAGATCTGCTGTTTTTCCAACATCTTGGGAAACTGCTTTAGTTATTCCCATACATAAAGTCTGGAAGCAAATCTGACGTGACCAATTATAGCCTAATTAGTATGCTGTGTTGTTTTTCTAAAATCTTCGAGAGCTTAATTTATAAGAACATAAATTACCACACGAAACATATTATAATTAGTCCCAAACAGCATGGTTTCGTTAAGGGACGCTCTACTGCCTCAAATCTATTATGTTATGTTCATTACCTGAGCACCACTCTCGATAAACGAATACAGGTCGATTCTCTATACACAGATTTCGCTAAGGCATTCAATGAGGTGGATCACAAAATCTTGATTCAGAAAGCATCTCTGCTTGCTTCTGCGTTGGCTGACTTCATACTTGAGTAATCGATCTCAAATCATCAAAGTGTACGGATATGAATCTGCGCCGTTTACGCTTAGATCCGGTGTGCCACAGAGCTCCAACCTTGGACATCTGTTATTTGTATTATTTATCAACGATTTGGTCAACTTGATTTCAAGCAATTGCCTACGCTGATGATATAAAAATTTACAGGGAAATAAGATCTAGGGATGATTGTGAGACATTGCAATGTGACATCGACCGTGTGTCTAGCATGACGCTAAATATATCAAAATGTTCTTAGTGTTCGTTGTTAAGGATCTCGGGATACTACTGGATAGCAAACTATCGTTCACCAGCCACTATGACTATATTGTTTTAAAAGCTAATAAGCTCATGGGATTATGGCATGGCATAGACATGTTTAGAATAATAAAACGTTTTCGGACTTTGATTATATTAACCCTTTATCTTGCTTTTAGTTTGTACTCTGTCGCTGTACCATAAATAAATAAATAAAATAAAAATAGATACCAGAGTACATAACAAGTATTTAGTCGCAAACTAAGAAGAACCATCTAGAATACTAAAACACATAATAACACTAAATTCTTTTCTTTCAGAATCTTCTCGACTTAAAAGACAGATTCGATCATTTCCTTCAAAACTCGTTCAATAATGATAAGATTTTCAAACACATGATCGCGTCCGACTTCGAATATTTCCTGAATCTGAACAACAAATCTCCGGAATTTTTGTCGCTGTTCATCGATGGAAAACTTAAGAAGGGTGAAAAGGGTGTAAGTATTCATACAAAGGACATGGCTAAGAAGCTGCCCTTAACGTGTATAAATATTTCGCACTAGCCCGTAACTTTACAATATTTTTTGTATTAATTATTACGTGTTTATTATTCTCATACAACTTTCGTGAAATAATCAAATATTTAAAAGTATAAAAATTGACTTCATGACTGTTTCAAAAGCAAGATGTTCCGTTTTACAAAATAAATGAACAATAAATGTACACAAAAAATATTTGTGTGAGTATATAGAAATAAACAATATTATTTCTAAACTCCTTCAAACTATGACATATTTGGCTCTAATTTTTATTATAACAAATCACGGAAGGCCTAAAATAATAAGATTTTTTTTATTCTGAACAGGCTTAAGACAAGGCTGTATTATAATTAATCCTTTAATTTTTGCAAATAGACAAAATAAACTTCACAGATTTCCTGTCAGGCCGACGATAACAAATTATTTGTATTTATTTTTACTATAAAAACTTTTTGTGAAGAGTTAATCAGAGAAATGGGAAGAAAGATTCTAAGAAAATGCGAAATTGATGTCTCTGTAAATAATTGGCAACATCTTTTATCAACTGTAGTAAGGTGACATACATGACATACATCAAAAGTTCTTGAGCCTTTTTTCATAGAAATTATTATATTAATATTCAGCCATTTACCATTAAATATTACTAAGTACAGTATTTATACATTGCCAGGGCAGTCGCTCATACAAAACTTTACCATGTCCTTTCATTATTTTTAAACAATTGTCTCTCAAAATTCTTATTGATGTAACAAGCATGTATTAACATAACACAGATGAGCGAGCAAGAGATAGAAGCAGTACTGGACAAGACAATGGTTTTGTTCCGCTTCCTACAAGAGAAGGATGTATTTGAACGCTACTACAAGCAACACCTTGCCAAGCGGCTGCTCCTCAACAAGTCTGTATCAGATGACAGCGAGAAGAATATGATCTCCAAACTGAAGGTCAGATACACATTTGTTTGATATAATTGCTGCAGTTCAATCGCGTGACATATTTTAGGGTATGATACGATACGATTAAGGGCTGATTTCACCAGTTTCTTAGTTTCATAAAAACATCTGCAATTTATACAAAAGTATCACTACGTAACGGATAATATGTGCTACCATGTACCCGATTTTTCTATTAGGTACTTAAGTAATGTTATTTACTTTAGGGAGCTTGATGTTTATCTATTACTCTATCATCTTGAAACCCGTTTGTTTTATGTAAAGAATAATGGTAGTATAGTTTCTCTGGATATATTACATTGTGAATTAATTACTTTTTCCAAATGCTTTAAAAGCCGAGTGTAAAATTAAGAAAACCTTACACATCATGTTATGAAACTGCTCATTTTTAAATGAAATTCGTCTATCACAGTAAACGGGAAAATATTATTGACTAGAAAATCTTTCTGGATTACTACAAAGATACACGTAACATATCAAAAGTCAGGCCTAGATCTCCTACCTTGATATTGAATTAACTTTCTTTTTCTCATTTTTAAATTTTCTCAGAAAGAAGGTATGTTAAGGGACGTGGAACCTCGGGACTTCCACTGTATTATTGGTGATGTCTCGCAAATCGAGAACACTGTCAGTGATTAGTGCCGTCCTGTTACAAGCTCTCTCCGCCCTTCACACATTCTGCAAAATTCTTTAACATTCCTTATGGACAGTCTTTGTAAGTGTCCATAGAGTTTATGCAAATCTCTGGTAGATTGTATAGAGATAATCTTGCTTAAAGTCTTTGGATTGTAAATCTATTCATCATTTCACTATTTTTTTTTTAGAAATTTTGAAACATTATTTGATAGGAACTAAAGAATTTTGCAGAAAGACTTTAAGCAGGGTTAGTGTTTGTATTCTAGGTAGGAACTGTATTGTATCATTAGATAGAAGTGTGGGTTAACCATAGATTAGTTAATAATAGTTGCAACTGTACTTTTCTAAAGAAATAAGAAATCTTAAAGTTATAACGTAGTTTTAGTAAATAAAAGTAATTAAACCCTACTGGGCTATTCTGTAAAATATAAACTCACAATCGAGCTTCCAAAGTCGCAATTTCGGACATCAATTAAATATTCAAACCTTACTTATTTTAACCCCCTATCGGAGGAGGCTGGTGTGCTTTGCAATGTGGCAGCAAAAATTTTATGTAATAGTTAAGTTATGATTTTAAGAAAATTGTATGGTCAGGTTACGATGGGGCTAGTATGGATATTTTGGTCCAAAAGTCCTTCTGTCGCAATAACTGTTGAAGCAGATTGTCATAACTATGTAGCGATTGTCAATAATTCGAAATTATTTATTTAATAATTACAGAATCGACGTTCTGCAACTAGTAGTTAGCAGTAAACTTATATAGATCGCGGGACTCTCATTCATTATGAAAAAATTATAAAGTATATAGATGATAAAACGTGAAATAAGAAATGCTATAAATAAGCCAACCAAAAAGGCTATAATTTTTTGCGCCTTACGTTCCTTTAGTGAAAGAGACACCTTTTTTGCTGGGATCTGTGCAAGCCATTCGCAGTTAAATCTATTTCTTTAATTGTAAATTCGTTTGTTGTTTTCGATGTGAAACATCTATAGGCGCACGTAAAACCGTAAATAATTTCTGGTGTGGCGACGCGTCGCCATGTGCAATCGAATTAGATTTTTGTATTTATTGAAAATAAATTTTTATGAAATAAACAGTCATCGTTTTCTGGAAAAAATCGTAAAATTTTATTTTATCATTATGCCATATTTAGTTCCTATCGCAATCTATTGTTTTCTGCATATTACTTTTACAAAATAATTTCGATGTTTCACATCTGCCAGGCGTCCCGTGATGGCTCACATTTGTTTTTATCAATAACTTTGGTTGCAGACTGAATGCGGTTGCCAGTTCACATCGAAGCTAGAGGGCATGTTCAAAGACATGACCGTATCCAACACAATCATGGAAGAGTTCAAAGAGCATGTGCTGTCATCCGGGGTGAATTTGTTTTGTATTTGTTCTCGCCTGAATGTTTAATTTAACAGTAACTTTGACATAATGTACGTATACTATTAGTTTGTAGTTTGGTAGTTTCCTATTTTTTCTTTGCAGAACTTTGTTTTGATAAATTTTACTCTTCATTGTGAATACTTATTGTAATTTAAATTATTCTCTTCATCATTTTACAAATAGCTTAAGATTCAGGTATTTCATATATTATTTATGTTCGTTAGATAGATGACTTGGGTGTATCATGGAACTTATTTTTCTCATTTTTGTAATTGAAAATTAAAACCCCCCAGTATAACCGATTACAGGAGTAAAAAAAAATCAGTGTGTACTTAGCAAACTATGATCAGAAATAGTTGCACCAATTTTGTGCGAACCAAATCAATTAAACACCCTTACATTATATTTAAAGAGTAGAGTCGATACATGGAAGCCCAGATCTGTACTTTCTATAATCAAACTATTGTGCCGTGTCCTACTTTTCGGCACTTAAACTAAGTTAGAGTACGATGGACGATGATGACAAACGACGATCGCGATAGCTCAAAGTCAACTTTTACAAGGCGCTGTACTCTTCTATAATCTATGTATAGTGCTATATCCTACTCAACGGCACTAAAAAAAATAGAATGGTAGATCACGATATATCTAAAGTCATTGTTTTTATTGATATGGTGTGATTCGTAGACCAATCTTCACGGTGTTGATCTGTCGGTGCGCGTGCTGACGACTGGCTTCTGGCCTACCCAGAGCGCCACGCCCAAGTGCAACATACCCACGGCCCCGAGAAGCGCCTTCGAGGTCTTCAGAAGGTAAATACCCAACCACAACCTTCCTTCCTTTTTTCTTATTGTCACGAACGCGCTCAAAATAAAACCACGAACATGCTGGAAACGGATTTAACCAGAGCGCCGCGGCTTGAGCCCGAGGGGGTTGGGCAGCGTAAGGATGAAAATGCAACGACATCTGCACTTGTTTATAAACTCATACGCGTTTAGGGTTACAATCTGAAAGGCGTTCGCCGCATTTGACAGGCTTTTTACGGTTTAGACAGGCGTGCGGCCGGCGCTAAGCGAAGACATTCATTTTTAGAGTTCCGTAGCCAAATGGCAAAAAACGGAACCCTTATGGATTCGTCATGTTTGTCTGTCCGTCCGTATGTTACAGCCACTTTTTACCGAAACTATAAGAACTATACTGTTGAAACTTAGTAAGCAGATGTATTCTGTGAACCGCATTAAGATTTTCACACAAAACTAAAAAAAACAATAAATTTTGGGTTTCCCCATACTTGGAACTGAAATTCAAAAATTATTTTTCATCAATCCCATACCTGTCGGGTATCTATGGATATGTCTTCAAAAATGATATTGAGGTGTCTAATATCTTTTTTTTAAACTGAATAGTTTGCGCGAGAGACACTTCCAAAGTGGTAAAATGTGTATCCCCAAGTCATTTCAGATTTGCTTCCTCCCCCAACCCTGGAATTAGTAATTCAAAACGAAATATAGGTTGGGCCATGGACCTTTTGACCCAAGGGTAAATACACCCCCTACCTGTTCTTTGGTAAATATTCCGTGACACTGCATCGCGCGTTATTTGCCGCTGGCTCTACTTGGCGAGGCATGCTGTCCATCCAGCCTCAGCTAGGCAGCGCGGTCCTCCAAGCTACATTCCCTAGAGATTTGTACCCGATAACTAGCTTTAAAATATTATATCTCTTAAGATAGTGACGCGGTAAATAAATAATTTGCAAATGTAAATTAAGTTATTGCCAATAAGGCTTTAAGCGGGAGCACGGAACGAGCGTCCGCTTTGCGTGTTTGTTTCATGTTATTCCATAGAGCAGCGCTTCGGGAGGGAAACGCCCGCGCCGCGCTGTTTTACAAAATTAATAAAAACTGGACGCCGAGCAGACGCCCATTATGTGCTTCCGTTTAACGCAGCGTAGGCTCTAATATTCCGTGACATTGCATCGAGCGTTGTCTCCGCAGTTTCTATTTGGCGAAGCATTCGGGCCGCCAGCTATCACTCCAGCCGCAGCTTGGCAGCGCGGACCTTCACGCCACATTCCGCGCGGCGCCGCCGTCGCCGCCGCGATCGCCGCCCGCTGCCGCATCCGCCTCCGCTGCCGCCTGTGCCGCCGTGCGCCGCCATATCATACAAGTGTCCACGTTCCAGATGTGCGTGCTGCTGCTGTTCAATAAGCGCGAGCGGCTCACGTACGAGGTCAGTGTAACTTTAGTGTTATAACAAAGAGTCCCATAATACAGGTGCAGGATTGTTTGTCCGCCGAGGAACCGTTGAGGAACTCGATGGCGCAGGTGGATAACGCGTTTGGCTGCTATCGTTGGAGTTAAGCAACTTTCGCAGTGGTCATTGGATGGGTGACCAAAAATCTTCTCGAGTTCCTCCGTGCTTCGGTAGGCACGTTAAGCCGTTGGTCCCGGCAGCATCTGCCGTCGTTAGCACTCGCCAATCCGCACTGGGCCCGTGTGGTGAGTCATGGCTCAATCTCCCTATTCCATCCATAGTGAAGGCCTGGGCCCCAGCAGTGGGGACATTAATAGGCTGATGATGATTGTTTGTCCGCACCCGCTGCGGCCTGTGCTGTTTCATAAGCGCGAGCGGCTCACGTACGAGGTCAGTGCTAATTTAGGTTACTATTTAAAAAAAAGAAAAACATATTATTGGTCTTCACAGCATAAATATTGAAACCAAAATGGTTTTAATAAAATATATAAATAATAAAAAACATGGGAACACTACATAGTTGCGTGCGTGTGTAAGGCCAGTAGGACGCTGACTCAGCTATGCTCTGTGGTAAACGCTTTCGCGATACCACTGCAGCGCTGATTTTCAGCCAGCGCCTTATGGCAATATAGATATTTCCTTATTATTATATGGAATATTTCATGCCTTCTATATCATACATGGGCAAGATTACGTATAGGGAGAACAACCAATTTAGATTATCGCCTATTTAACAGCTAATCTCCGGTAGGAATCTCCAATATAGAACTAGGCTAGGAATATTCTCATTATATTGGTGTGGCATTGCTCGCCCGCGACGGCCGCTGCCTGTACATACACCTTAGGTTATTATTGTTCCCGCTACTAAAAAACCCATTTTTTGCCTTCCATATCAGTGCTAAAGACAAGATTACGTAGGAGAGCAGCTGATTTAAAGTATCGCCAATTCATCAGCTAATCTGCAGCATGGATGGATATTGGCGCGGAATCGCTTGTTCGCTCCAGCTTTCACGCCCGCTGCCGCATGAGAGAGAGAGAGAGAGCGACTTTAGAATGTTATTGTTACCGCTACCAGAAAAGGACCCATTTCTAACCTTCCAAATTACTTTTAAAAAAGCAGCAGATTTGAGTACTGCCAATTTATCAGCTATTCTGCAGGAGAGTGGATCTTCCATATAGACTTAGGAGGAAAAATTTGTTAAGAAAATAAATTGTTTTATTGCATTAATAGTGGGTGCCTGCAACTTCGTCTGCGTGGGAGATTGGTTTCCCATACAAACTCCCACGCAGACGATTTCATCTAAATCAGTTCATCAGTGAAGTAACAGTAAGACAGACACTCTTTCGCATTAATAATATCATTGTTCCCACTACCGGAAAACTACGAATCGTGCTAGCTTTTGGTTTTAAGTATAGTGAATTCACCAGCTAATCAGCTTTACTGTAGACCACGGGTCTTTCATATGGCATGCCCTTCCTTGTCCGAACTTGCCGGCCTGTCCCCGCTACCATTATGAATACTAATTAACAATAAGATGTATGTATGGGCCGTTCCTTATGGCGCTCTTTTTTCTCTCCTATCTGCCACACATAGGACACGGCGTTAAATTAAAATAAAAAAATAAATCAAACAATATTTTACAAAGACACTACACCAACAGGAAATTCTGAATGAGACTGATATACCGGAGAAGGATTTGATTCGCGCGCTGCAGTCGCTGGCGATGGGCAAGGCGACGCAGCGGGTGCTCATCAAACACCCCAAGAACAAGGAGATCGAGCCCTCGCACCAGTTCTACGTCAACGACGCGTTCACTTCCAAGCTACACAGGTACGACTTTGGGAGATGCAATACGGGCGTTAGGGCTGTCCATCAAACACGTGAGGCTCGAAAGAGGGGGGAGGGGTCCATAAAAAATCACAAAATATAACAACGGGGGAGGGAGGGTCTAGTAATATATCACGTGTATTTCCGTGGTCAGAGGATACTGTACATTAAATAATGTTCATGTGTTCGTAAATAAAAGTTTTTCGCATTTCTTTCATATTTTTTTACCAGTCAAAAACTAAACGTTATTATTGTAGTCTATAATTTTCTATTATAAAATTAGGTGATACTTATAACTGTATTTTATAAATATAAAAAAATGAGATTCTTTATCTAAATGGGGGTAATCTTAAACCTCACCATGTATCATCAGGGGGGGGGGGGGGGGGTTAAAAAATGCCAAAAAAATCACGTGATTAATGGACGGTCCCTTATCTGTTTTTGTTAAAAGAAGGAAGTTCTCAATATATTTTTTTATTATTGTTCGCACATATCTCCGAGGTATGTCGACCGATTTTGATAGTTTTATTATCTCAAACACGAACAGCACATATATCGTGTTTGGTTATTTTACGAAATATGTAAGAGAGATTGCAGGTCAGACATCTATATTTAGTTATTTGATGTTGCGTCTAAGCGATGACGCTCCTTCGTTCTACATATAAACCTCCTTCCTTCGACGACCTCCGTGGCCGAGTGGTTCCTTCTTCCTTCGACGACCTCCGTGGCCGAGTGGTTTGTACGCCGGGTTTCATGGTGTCGCCGACTCGAGAGGTCCCGAATTCGAATCCCGGTGGAGGCAGATGTTTGTGTGATGAATACGAGCATTTGTACTCCAGTCATGGATGTTTAATATGTATTCCCATATAAATATACTTATATATGTATTCTATCCGTTACCCTATACTTCGACTTTTTATTAGCTGCAGTAAAATGACGTTTCAAAATGTCATTCCGTAAAATAATGTTGACCGCCTAATTTCAATAGGGATGTGATTAGGTTCACAGATAATCTAATCGTTCCTTAACTAACTCATAATGATCATTCTTAATTCTATTTATTATTCATATAAATAAAAGGCTGTATAAAATCTCAAGTTGGTACTGGTTTTTAGTTACGATGCTACGATGAGGCTTGTCCGCCATTTTATTTCATTTGTCATTTGCTCATTCGCCTTCTAGCTTCTCTTTTGAATGCACGAATAACTTTGCTTTGCCCACTGCGAGTTGTTTTAGTTATCATTATTGTTAAATTTTTGTTACGTTATGTTTGTTTTTCGTTACCTACTTTTTCTTAATCGTGTCAGCTTTTTTTTGTTTGTTACATCGAAGACATGGATGCTGTGATGTTAAATTCTCCTCCACTGCCCTCTTTTACTCTACCTCAGAGCGCAGGGTAAGCAATGAAAGAAAACCAAAAAATTCAAATAAGGCTATAATTATATTTTACCAACTATGGATTCTAAAGAAGATTAATACAGTAGTTCTAAGTTCTAGTTTATATAAATTGCCAAGTTGACATGAAACATTATAACTATATTTTACTAACCCTACATGTCACAACGAGGCTGAATACAGTAATTTTAATGTTAGAGTTTACACAAATTCCCCCAGTGGGCAAAAAATGTTATACCATATTTTACCAACTTTCACTCTCCTAACTAAGCTGAATACAGTAGTTTTAAAGTGAGAGTTTATATAAATCACAAGTTAGCATGAATCTTAGAATTATATAGACATCAGACATTCATAACAATCTACCATGTACTTACATAAGTTCTTAAACTATATCTAATGTATTTTATCCACTCTGCAATGGACTGTCCATTGAGAGACCACAAAGACTAGACTTAATAAGCTATTTAGTGGATTTCAGAGGTTCTACGGCTCGTTTGATCGATATTGGTGACAAACTTAGTTAATTATAGTTCTTAATGAGACAACCAGTTATATAGATATATATATATATATATATATAGAAAGGGGTAGGTCGGGGTCCAACCTCGCCTTGTGGTACCTGCTCCACGCTCGACCGGTGTTAGTTATAAAAATACCTTGTTTAGGATAGGTTCAGCAGTGTATGATCTGTCTGCAGTTACATGAAACCGGAGAGCGGCTTGCAACCTTTATTGTAATGATCTCACGAGTTCCCTCTGGTCCGTGTACAGAGAGAGAATCTCCTTGTTATTCCTCCAGTATTTCTTGAGGAGAGCGTATAAGCCTGAAGTTCACATTGAAAAAAAATGATCAGACGTGGGGAAAATACATAGATCATCTACATCTGCATCACTAGCGGGTTGAGTGAGGGATATTCACGGTTAATGTTTACATTTTTTTGAATCACTACATGACTGGGGCCCATCCCACCGGGTTGAAGGAAATCAATTTCAGGTTCACTAACTTGACAAGAATGATTAGGTATATTTGATGACAATAATCACCATATCATGCATAATGCAGATCAATTAGTGCTAGGAGAATAAATATGAGGTCAGATGACAGCTTACCGTTCGAAATATAAAACTATCCGTAAGTATTTTGTTTCCTATCACAAGTTCTGCCCCGCCTTGCGAGATTCCAGAACCGTCCACCTACGGCACAGAAGATCAAACAGAAAGGTTATTTTTCATAGCCACAACTTGCAAAATAAGTAGGAGTAATAAGGAGTTACCTAAGATACCTGTGAAACTTTATCAACCCGAATTACAGTTCGGTTAGCGTCTCCGCGCTATTTCCGCCAATATCCTTCAGGATATAAACTTTTCGGATCTATTTCACGACTCCGACGACGAGGTTATGGTCCTATATGGCAGAAGGCAAAACACGCATTAAACTTTCCCGAAAACAGAATGTGAAATTTTTAAATGTTGTTTTGACAACTGAGCATAGATGATAGACCGCCCACTCCCGAATATGTGTCTATGATTTGTTTCTCTCTCCAACTGAAGGCAAAGGCCACAGTCAAACAGACAGTCGCCGCATTCGAGATGAAACAACGAATCAACTCAAAACTATATAACTATGCTCGCCGTAAGCGGAGGAAAAGAGAGTACCTACCTAAATCAGCGAGGAAGTTCAATTTCGAATAAAATTCAAAATCGATTAAAAACAACGCCCGATGGAGAACTCAAATCGATATGGGAAAAATTATTCAAAATTCAACAACTGTCAAACTCCATCCATTCATCCACACGCACCAACAGAGATTCACTGCCTTATTACTTTTTTTTTTTTATATAAGTCTCAAGTCGGGTATTTTAGTCGAATAAAAAAAGCAACTATTTCCTCAATGCTACCAACCCAATCAATGAAGTTTGACAGCTACGCCGACGTCAGCGGTTCGCTATCATAGACAAAACAGCTGTACTACGTGTGTCAGTTATTTAAGTGTCAGTGTCACGCCCTGTTTAAAAACAAACACTACAATGCTCAGTTGAGCATATCACAAGATGGAGATACATTTCTATCTCCTATGAAAAAACAGGCCACGTGTAGCTCTTAGTGCAACCGAGAAACTTTGGGTCAGAAACGTTTACAAATATGTGTTTGAAGTGAAATCTACAGAATCAAATATTGAAGTTCCAAAAACAAGTGAATGCGTCAACAAGGTGGCTGAAGTCTTCGGAATATCCGTCCGCACTGTTTATTTTATTTTAAAGGAGCACAAGGAGAACGACTGTAAATCACCAAAACCTCCCGAAAAACCTGGCCTAAAACTTACATTTAAAGAAAAACTTGATGATTTCACATTTACCGCTATTAGACGAATTGTACATCAGTTCTTTCATAGAAATGAAGTACTCACCTTCGCAAAGGTTATTTTACCTGTCATCATTAATCTTTTTATTATACGTTAGGTATAATATGTTTTCTCCCGCCCCATGTAGAATTTTAACCAATTAGATTCAAGAGTCTGACCACTAAAAATATTACATTTGAACCAAATATAGTGAAGGCCACTCTCATAGATATTGTGAAACAACAAAATCATACTGAGAAATATGCCGTGGACGAGATTGCTGCATAAAAAGGTATTAGACTTTTAAGACTGTCCCCTTATCATTGTGAATTGAACCCCATCGAGTTGGTTTGGGTTCAGGTAAAGAGGCACGTCGCAAACAATAATAAAACATATAAAATGCAAGAAATGAAAAGTTTATTCCAAGAAGGAATAAACAAAGTGACACCGGTTAAGTGGAGTGACTGTGTGTCTAACACTATAAAAGAGGAAGACAAAATGTGCCACCTCGATCATATTATTGATGAAATCACAGACAGATTTGTCATTAGTGTGACCGCAAGCGACAGCGATAGTGATTCCGAAAATATTTGATTAATAAATGACATTGTTATGACTTTTTGTTTAATTTTGGATGTACGTCCCTATACTTCCAATGAAAAAGATCAATCCTTTACTATAGTAATAATAATAGAATAAAAAATCATTACAACTTAATATTAAATCTCTTAAACAAAACCAAACTGATCATTCATTTATTGAATGATTCACTTACTCACTTAGCTACATCCCTATTTATTTTTCTGCAAAAAGCGGTAACCCACAAAACGTCATTTTACTGCAGCTAATAAAAAGTTCTACTTTAGCATCCCATAACACAAGCCTTACAGTGCTTACTTTGGGCTAGGCTAATTGGTGTGAGTGTTGGAAAAACATATAAACCTGAACGACATGCCACACGATGCGGTGAAACGACAGTCCGGCGGCGCAGTATTTAATAGTATAGAAAGCGAAGGCGACCCTTACTTCCGGTTTCAATAATCAACCTCTAGTAAAAGGCAAGATAATCTGGTTCCGTTTCGTAGCAAAAGTTGCTATAATAATCTAAACAATAAAAATGCCTAGACAACAAAGATCTAATAGGCCTATCTCGTACTGAAGTTTGATTAGTAGAACTGGCCGTGGAACGCAATCTATCTATCGGTTAATGTTTATTTTAGAACAATTTTTCAATACTTTAGACTTCGAAATGGCCGTAATGACCACTCAAAAAAATCATCTAGATTAGGCTCAATTTAAACATACATTCTATTATAGCTGAATTCTAACTTACTACAAAAATAAACAAGGTTACCATTAAGATTCATATATTACCATTTTAACACACATCGTCACCATGGCCCTTAAATGCTATTTTAGTTTTCTCGAGATACTTATATGACGATGTGTTATATCAAGTGTATAAACTCAAGACCATATGAATGTACATTTAGCATAAAAATTTGAATCCTAAAGAAATATACTACATATTGTATCCTATATCAAATACTTAATTGATTGCAGGGTGAAAATCCAAACGGTGGCAGCTAAAGGCGAATCTGAGCCGGAACGAAGGGAGACCCGCAACAAGGTTGACGAAGACCGCAAGCACGAGATCGAAGCCGCCATAGTACGCATCATGAAAGCGCGCAAGAAGATGCAGGTAATATAAATGAATATTAATCTTATACTATTGACGAAAAAGTTCAAATCCACATGGCTAATTTGTGAAATATGCAAAGGGTAGTAGACCTTTTTTACTTTAAAACCAAGTTTGACGAAGACCCTGTAAGCACGAAATTAAAGCCTTCTATGGCGAAAAAAAGTTCAAACCGGCGTGGGAAACGGCTTTGCCCGTAGACAGAGGACCCATTAATTTATCTATCTACGGCATTTCCGCTTATTTACTACAAACAACTAATTGCATCAACATTTTTCATGGCCTCTTTTTTACATCCTTGTCTTTTGTTAACGATTGTATGATAAAGAAGGCTCTTCAATAAATTTTCCCGACTTCCCTTGGTGTTGTATTTAATATTAACCAATTATGATTGTTCTGTAAATTCATCATCAGCCTATTAATGTCGCCTCTGTTGGGGCCCCAGTGCGGATTAGTGGGTAGCTAATGACTCAGACCCTGCGCTGCCTTAAGCGGGGCACGGAGCGGAAGTCCGCTGGGCGTGCAATTTTCATGTAATTTCATAGAGCCCTATTCTATGAAATGACATGAAAATGTACACAGCGCGGGAGTCCGCTTGGCGTGTTTGTTTTGGCGATGACGACGGAGACCCGACGGGACTCTAAAAGTGTCCGTCTAGTAGAAACAGAAAAAATGAGAGACCGCTAGTTATCTCTCTCTCTCTTGTGACGCATGCGCAGTCGTCAGTCCAATAGTTGGTCCAAGCATCACATCGAAATAGTAAGATGCTAACAATTGCCAATGCGCAAGCACGATTAGAGAGGGAAAGCTAGCGGTCTCTCATCTTCTTTCTCTTTCTATTAGAGGGACACTTCCACTTGTAATATCACCCCTACTTTATTCTTATACCTCTTATGCTCACGCAGCGCTGCTATATGAAATAACATGAAACTGCACGCGGAACGGACGTCCGCTCCGTGTTCCCGCTTAAGGCAGCGCACGCCCTAATGCAGCCAGAACCAACGGCTTAACATTCCGGAAGGCATTTTGGTCATCCAACCGTTGACCGGTCATTTCGAAATTCAACTAATGTTAACTTAAAGCAAAAAAATTCATAGTACCACGTCTAATTAACGTCTTTGAGCATACGCAGCCGATATCATAAAACAACTTGAAGAATGCTCTCGTTAATATCTAATTACTTCCTATCTTATTACTTATGATTACTCCATTGTACTTCCACAGATAAATTACTTTAATTTTAAGTAAATATGTTGCCGGTATGGGTTAAGTCTCTTCGGTGGTGTCGTGTAAGGCGGGTCGTTACGTTTCCTAAAATATGGTTGAGCGAAGCGAAGGCTGGTTCGTGCGTCATGCTCGTGAACGGGTGCTGCCAGCGGAGATGAGCCTGCCATAACTACTTTGATATTTAAGATATAAATGTCTAGTTACACCTATTATAAATTACACTATTTGTATAACACAGCAATCAAAGTACAGGTGAACAATTAATGTATAATTTCACATTATGGAATGAAAGGTGACTTCATGAATAGTCTCTGAAGTCATTTTTCAACTTTGCGATTGAAAATAATAAAACGTAGAAAAAAAACAGCCCTTGCTGAGTTTCTTGCCGGTTCTTCTCAGTACAAGGTCTCCCGCCGTTGATTTACGAACCGATGGCGTAGCTTCTAGACATTCATGAGTTCTTGTAACAGCCTCAACTAAATAAATGATTTTTATTATGATTACTTGTCCCCAGCACACGTTGCTTGTGACCGAAGTGACGGAACAACTGCGCGCGCGCTTCCTCCCCTCCCCCGTGGTGATCAAGAAGCGCATCGAGGGTCTGATAGAGAGGGAATATCTCGCTCGCACGCCCGATGACCGCAAGGTCTACACCTACGTCGCATAGGTGCGTACACGCAGCTACCCACACAGCCCCGCTTCAATACAATACCGGCGATATATAACACACTCTGATCACACTACAGATTGATTGTAACTAACTTGGATATGTAAAAAATATTGTAAATAGCGGTAGATGTTAGTTCGAATATGTAATTTTTAAACGATAAGGCAGTGTCAAATCTCCCTGATCAGCTTGATTAAAAGTTTCTTTTCTAATAGCAATAGCTTTTTATTCTCCCCCCCCCCCCCCCCACTATTGTACGTTGTGTAACGATAGGCGCAACGCACCTCACTGTGCTGGTTTTATTTTCAGGCCAACATAGTCGAGATCCGTAAGTCCACGAAGGCGGATGCCAAGTTAGAAGTGATAGAAGTAACAAAAGTATTTAAATTATTTGAAAATAAAAATTATTAGCTATTATCAACAGTTATTTTATTTGATAGTAAATTGTGAAACATAGCGTCATTAGAGGCACACTAAGCTTATTAGTGCAATTTGCGTCGGATGGAAACGGAAAGAAGAAATCTTTGGGCAAATATATATTTAAATGCGGACCCCCTGCATATTCGTACTCTTTTGGTTTTGTTCCATCAACAAAGTTTGTATCTATGGTCAGTACTGTTGAAACGTCCTCCGCACTGATTGTCACGTTATGCGTAGCTACTTCAGTATTCACAGCTATTATTTTGTATTCCCTTTTCGTAACCACTTCACTGACATCGGCAAATGTAAAAACATATGAGATTCTTACAATGAAGTTGTTACAACGCAATCTTGAATTATTTGCCAAAAACTGTCCATATGTAACATCTTTCTCTTGAATGTTACTAGTGATAAGAATCCAGTCCTTTTCTTTGTTATCTGCAGGATTTCCCAAAGCAGATACATATATTTTCTCTGTCAGTCCACTTAGCTGTTTTATTTGGTTTTCTATATCTTCGCAAGCGTCCGTACTGTTTAATTTTAACCAATCGGTTTTACTGTGAATATATCTACATTTAATTCTCTTGTTAATCCCAAAATCGACAAAGTTAACTGTCTTATTATAAGATACGCACAGGCCATCGATATTATCTAGTTGCGTCAAATAACGTTTCTGCCTGTATGTATTGTTGAAAAATTGCGCTGTATGGTTACTTTCAGCTGCTGATGAGATTACAGGGAGACCATATAAATATCCCGGATTACCACTAATTCTGATTATCTCATCAATCGAAACATTCGCCATGATGAATCTCACATTAACTACCTGCGTCATGAAAGGAATATGGTTCGCAACATTCTTTACGAACAATTTTATAGTGACATTAGTTATTTTAGAATCATAATAGTAAAAAATATACTCCAATTGCAGTGCAATATTAACGCAATAACTTTCGTTACAAGAAGGTTCGTGTACAGTTTTATTGTAGTAGTTGCACTTGCTGCCGTCTTCATCGCATATCACAATAGACCAATTTGTGCAGTGAAGTGTAGAACAATTCTGAAAATGACAAGAATTGTTTATTAGAATATATGTAAATAAAATCTAATAATCGACTGGGAACTGGCCCAGCTAAAAGAGTCTGAGAAATGAAAAAAATCTTTATATTTAGTTACAGAAATATGAAAGTAAAACTGAAACTCACTAGCCTATGAATCGCCTATTTTAAAGGTACTGGAGTCGATTCTGGCGTGATTCTCTAAACATAAAACTAAATTTAACATCAATCTCTCCTTTTCATTCCGTATAGAGAATGACAAGGATACACTGTTGTCAAATTAAGTTTAGGTTTAGAAAAACTTGTCAGAATTGACACCACTATCAGCCAATTTGATTCCAGACCCACCATTAGCTTATTTTCTAGCAAACAAGAAGGTAGATTTTTGCTTGGCTGTATAAGATTATCTATTGCATTGAAAATAAAGGTTTCAAAGATATTTTATCCATATTAGCATAGTTTCCTTGTTATTAGAACGTCCTAAGTGCAATTACGCATTCTCTACAAAGGTTCACTTGTTTTGTTTTGACATTTTTAAGCGAATTATCGGGCTAGTGTATCAGGAACCAAATTTGTTCGATAGTACATACACTTATGACCAAGTGGTTTTTATTCTGTTCTATTAGTACAGAGCTTTCCAATAGGTAGGTAGGTAATATAAGGTTGGCTATCGGAATTTTTTTTTGATCAATACCTACTTTATTAAAAGTTCGGCATTAATTATACCACCATACAGCTGAGCAACGCGTAGAAATCATTAAAAAGTATCCCCAAAACGGTTGTTTAATTCATCAAACGTTTCGAACATAGCCGTCTTAGGGACGTCACTATTCGTTAAATAGTTTTATATATTATAGGGGCATACGAGCTGACAGCTCTCCTGATAGTAAGTGATCACCGTCGCCTATACACAAGACACCTGCAACACCAGGAGTATCGTATAGTGAAATAATTTTAAACTATTGGTTTGGGCTTTTGCATTCTGAAAGAGTGACTATTTTGGGCTAGGACCTTAAGTGGTCCGTATTTTACGAGAATGAGTTCGGTGCTGCCTTAATTGTGAATTGGTGATCATCACTGGGTCATAATTGGGTTTTTTGTCCGCAATTGGTAGAAATTGATCTGAGAGATATTTGGTTTCAGCAGGGTAGCGTCACCTGTCATATTGTTAGAGAAACAGTCAACTTATCGAAAGGGACATTCAACGAGTTCCGATATCAAGATTTAAGGATAAGACATAGTCTCCATGATCATGTGATTTAATGCCCCTTGATTATTTTATGGGGGTTAAGTAAAATCACTGGTGTTTGCCTACAATCCAAGAACTGTCGAAGACCTAAAAACGCCATTAACGAGATGCCAATATGTCAAAAAGTGATGAAAATTGGACCACTCGTGTTCAGGTTATCGTACTAAGCCGAGGTAATAATTTAAACGATGTCTTATTCCACACAAAATGCCAAATAGTAAGCTTCTAAATAAAAGAAATTTAATGATATTTTTATCATTGTTTTTTAATCCAAACGCACCCGATTCTTATTGGAAAGCCCTATATAATTAGTCAATATCAAGTCAAGAGAGTAAAAAATCTCGGAATGTAATAGTAATTTAGACAGGATTATGGTCAGTGGCGGATTTACCAGTAGGCTCAGTAGGTTGGAGCCTAGGGCGGCAAATTTGGCCCAAAATCTACACAGAAAAACGAGTGACAAAAATTTTAATATTTTAGTAATGCACAGTATACTCAACACTCTTACGTCCGTAATCCGTATGTAAAAGATTACTAACGCACTGTAAAATATAGGTATGTACTTATGCGATCATGAAATTTTAAAATATTTCATTAGCGTTTCAATATTAATTACAATTTAAATTTAGTAATTTTTTAAACTAACGGGCAAAGCCAACGTAATGTGGACGATATAACACAAATCATAAAGTTGCAATTTCAGAATAAATATAATTGTGAACTAGCGTATTGAATTTCAAAGGTCAGTAAGGGAGGCAAAAATTTAATAGCCTATTAGCGGCAAATTTGTAAATCCGCCACTGATTATGGTTCATAATGTTAAATATAGACAGAAGAACTTCGATCAACAATTCTATAGATAACGGGTCAGCCCGTAAAATCCGTCTCGGTAAATATAGCCACACTTCAGGTGCGAGATCTTATTTTAAATTAGTTCGGTTAATACAAAACGAAGTTAATCGCTGACCAATTACTGGTAAAAATATTTTATTTTGTGGGTCATAAGGTTGATTTCACATTTTCCTTTTTGCACCTAGGAGAAACTACCCAATCATTGGCACTCTTCCTATTATTGGCACTTTTGATTTTATTTCGAAAAAACCAGGAAACAATAGATTGTAGGAATAATGTTGCCAATTTTCAAATTTCGAAACCATACTAGGTAGGTTTTTCTTTTTAATATGTAACGACCTTCAATAATCTATTATCTCCTTGTTTTTTCGAATTAAACTCAAAAGTGCCAATAATAGGACGAGTTCCAATGATTGGGTGGTTTCCCCTATATCGTTTTTTTCCAAGTATCACATATAATTTATAAAAGGAACAAGAATTCGTTTTATAAGATAAAAGGTCGTATGTGCGAAATAACATTTTGTTATTTGTAACCTTATTCCTTTGTAAGATAGTTGTTATTAGAAACTGTTTTTAAAACATTCATTTTTGTTTATTGGGAATCGAATGTAGTTACCATAAGTAAAACTTACGTATGTTAAACATACGCGAACAGTTTTTAGCTTTGATTTTGTATGCAACCCGTCATCTATAGAATGTTGATTGAAGCAGAAGAAGAATAAAACATTATTATTAGCATTACCAAGACAGACGAATTAAGTGATTGCTCTGTCACACTAATACAATGAGACTCCTGAGACGTTCTAAATATTTGAAACATTTCTAAGTCTTTCAGAAGCACTGTACACTCAATATTTTCCTCTTTCAAAAATAATATAGGTCTCCTTCCACTACAATAATTATTAACTGTTGGAGATGGCATATCTGCAATAAGTAAATAACAATATTAAAGCAATAATATTGACAACCTTTACATGTAATATTTCAGTAATTACCTATATACCAAATCGATCCCTCTTTTAAAACCCATATAGTATCTCCATATACATAAGGTTTCCTTTCAAACTCTGTGTTTCTTGAAGTATCGGTTTTGTGCCATTTATATGCTTTATCAGCTGCATTAAAATCAGGCTGAAACATTTGTAAATATAAATTTTAAAAATAATACAATTTAAATAAATTGTTTGAAATAAAAAATATATAGGTATATAATTCTTGAACCACTACTCACCCATTTACTATTTAAGTTTATTTTACTAGGGACATTATTCTTTACAATACAAAACAAGTTGTCATACAAATTTATTTCATCCTCTCTCTGAGATACTTCAAAACCATGAGCTTCAAAGCATGCATATTGTGATTCTTCAACATGATGACTTGAAATATCATTACAATTCACAAATAGCTTTTTATCCTTTTCAGAACAATCATTATCACAGCAGCAACTAATATCACATACTCTATACTGTAAAAAAGTGTAAACAAAAATTAAAATTGCCATAGGAACAACTTATAATTTGAAACCATTTGTAGGTGTCATACTTACCAACAAATCACAACCACAATTTTTATTTTCTAGATTTTCCTTTGGTACATAAGGTTGCAATGTGGTTTTATTTTTCTTATTATAAAAAGTTATTTCTGTGACATTATCTATTTCAGTTGTGGAATACAATGTCTCTGTGGTAAAGGCATCCTCTGTTGTTGATATATTTTCATAATAAAATTCATCTATAATACTATTTGTGATCATAGTAGACATTTCCGTTTCAGGCACTGATAAATTACTATAGGATTTCATGGATTGGGAGACTTTAAGTGAATCCTTGTTTAAATGAGTGCGGTAGTATAATGCATGTGGTGTTTGTTTGATACTTTTAAACATATCATCATACCTTTTCTTTCGACTAGTAACATTGATATCAGTTTGTTCTTCTTCCAATTTTAAATTATCTTGAATATAATCCATAACACTAAACTGTATTAGTATAGATAACAAAGTGAATCCAAGATAAGTTATAACCCTCATATTTACTTGTACTCTACACCAAACTGACTAAAATTTCTTAAAATTATATCAATACTTAATTTAATAGAGCCTTTAGACTGCGTTTTTAATTTAAACCTAGAAATAAAAATTTAAATTTAAATTATGAGTAAAATTGAGAGGCCCTTCAAGCTTCAAAGCAGTAGGTTTAGTAAAAGATACAAACCTATCAGTACCTAAATTAATAATATCAGTATTCAACAGTTGAAGAGAACCACCTAGGAAATATTCCCTTATCCTGTCAGTCAGTGTAGTAGCAGAAGGGAGCCAGCAAGGTACATCAAGAACATGATGACCTGGGACAACAGGTAAGCTGCAGCAACTGTACCCCACTATCCAGGCACGGCCAATTGAATCTAGACAGCTTACCTGCAACACCAATTTAGGCCAACCTGTAACAAACATGGAGATTCAGTCTTTATTTTAATATTAGAGCATCTATAAAAATAAACATAATAAAATAAATAAATAAATAAAAATAAAAATAGCCTTTATTCTCTGATATAGTATTACTAATTTCCTATTGCTACAATTTGATTTAATTTTACAATGCTTACACTAATAAAAGAAAATTGGTAACACCAGCACTATTTTAATCAGGTTGTCCTCCTCGGACATAGGCCTCCTCTAGAATTTTCCATTTTATCCGATCTCTTGCTAATCTGCGCCTTCCTTGTGGTAGGTCATCCTCCCATCTTCTCTGTGGCCGCCCTCTTGTCCTCCTCCCATCTCTGGGGTACCAAGATACGACCTCTTTGGTCCATTTTTCTTTGGGGGATCTGATCACATGTCCAATCCAACGCCATTTAAGTCTCCTTATTTTCTTGGTAACATCTGCCACACCTGTGATTTTTCTAATTCTGCTCAGTCTCCACTTGTCTTTCAAACGGATGTGCAGCATGCTTCTCTCTATCCCCTGCTGACATACCTTGAGTTTTTGACTGTGCGCCTTTGTCAGGCCCCAAGTTTGACACCCGTAGGTAAGTATTGGTAGGATGCACATGTTGAATACTTTACGTTTGATTGGCATTGGAGTGTTCTTATTCTTCAATATTTCCTTCAGCGACCAGTAACGAGCCCAGGTGTTGTTTACTCGTGTTTGCAACTCTTTGTCCATCTGCGAGTTTGGTGAAATTATTTGGCCTAAATATGTGTAGTCATTCACATACTCAATGTCATGATTATTGACACAGATTTTTTGTTGATGTCTATTGGTCATGATCTTTGTTTTATTTGTGTTCATGGTCAGACCTGCTTTTTGACTTTCTGTTGCAAGTTGTAAGAGCATTTCTTGTAGAGTGACTGGGTCCTCCGCAAACAGTATCAAGTCGTCCGCAAATCGCAGGTGTGACAGCCTACATCCATTAATATTTAGTCCCCTCTTTTCCCAATCTAATTTTCTGAAAATTTCCTCTAGCACAGCTGAAAAAAGCTTGGGAGATAGAGGATCCCCTTGTCTGACTCCTTTTTGGACTTTAAATTCCTCTCCAATTTTTTCTAATTGTACTTTTGCCGTGTTGTTGCTGTATATATTCTTTATGAGTCTAATATACTTATTTTCTATTCCTTGATTGAACAAAGCTATATATGTGTAGTTATGAGATAGCGAATCAAATGCCTTATTATAGTCTACAAAGGAAATATAATATGGTTTCCTGTACTCATTGTACTTTTCTATTACTTGTTTTACGACATGCATGTGGTCTACCGTTGAAAAATCTGCTCTGAAGCCTGCCTGTTCTCTTGGTTGTTCCGCGTCTAGTCGTTTGGTGAGCCTACCTAAAATAATTTTCGAAAAAACTTTGTACAAGTTTGTCATGAGGCTAATGGGTCTATAGTTATCTATTTTGTCTTTATCGCCCTTTTTGTGAATCAATATTATAGTTGATTTTGTCCATTGTTCCGGAATAATTTCACTATCTAAGATTTCGTTAAATAGACTGACAGAAATGTTTTTAGTATAGTACTCAATGACGCTTTAAGCAGTTCATTGGTTATTTTATCTTCTCCTGGAGCTTTGTCGTTCTTTTGTGATAGTATGGCTTGTCTCGTTTCGCTTTCTAGTATGTAAGGGACTTCTTCTTCTTTGTTTAGATTTTCTATTGTTACTGATAGTTCGGATGAACTATAAAGGCTTTTGTAGAAGTTCGTAGCGATTTTGCTTTATGTTCTGTTTGTATTTGTAAATTCTTTGTTTTCTTTGTTTTTTCCCTTCATTTTCGGTATCCAAAATGAGTGATCCTTAAGTTTCTTCATTACTCTTTTGATTCCTTCTGTTTTCTCGATTTCGGATTGAATGCTGTTGAAACGTACTTCCTTTTTATGGTCTCTTATACTTGATGTGATCTTTTTACTTATTGCTTCTATCTTTTTAATGTTTTTTTTCCTGTCTGCAAGCATTTCTCCTCTTTCTTTTATTAGGGTTCTTGTTGTATGTCCTATTTTGTCCATTTTGTTTAACTTACTCATGTGTCTCAATTCGTTTCCTAGATTAGTTAATATTTTTTCGAATGTGTTATATTTTTCTTGAATTAAATCGCTATTTTTAATTTTATCCATCTGACTTTTTTTACTTTTGACTTGGATGTTTTCTGATATTGGAGTTGCTATCTGATCTGATCTGTTTTTTATGTATTTCCTAGTTCGTTTTTTGTTTGTAATTTCTAAGGTAGCTCTAACCATTCTATGGTTTGTGCTGAAGTTTAGGTTATTCACTATGCCTACATCATTGAATAATCCCGGTGTGTTGGTTAATACGAAATCAATTTCATTTTTGGTTTTCCCATCAGGTGAAATCCAAGTCCATTTCCTGCTTCTTTTTTTCTTATAGTAGGTATTCATTATCCTTAAATTGTTTTCAAGGGCAAGATCGATGAGTTTTTGTCCATTTTTATTTCGCCTACCTTGACTGTAGAGTCCAATGATGTTAGTTTCTCCATTTTGTTGGCTACCTATCTGGCTGTTGAAGTCTCCCAATACAATCTTATTTTTATTAGTTTCTTCAATAGTATCTTGTAGTGATGTATAGAATAAGTGCTTGTCTTCTTCGTTTGCATTCTCTGTGGGCGCATATACTTGTATGATGTACCATGGCTCTTTTCCATCTTGGATAGTCAAGTCCAAAATAGCAATTCTTTCCGATTTGCTTCTGAATTTTGTAATTGCTTCTTTGAGATGCTTTTTGACGATAAAACCTACACCGTATAGCCCCTTTGTTTCTCCTTTGTAGTAGAACAGGTAATCTTCATGTTCTCTCACTTCTTCTCCTAGTCGTCGTACTTCACTCAGACCTATTACATCCCAGTTTATTCCTTGTAATGCATATTCGAGTTCTACTAGTCTATCATCTGTTCTGAGTGTCCTTGTATTTAGGGTTGCTATGAATAGTTGTTTAAAAAACAAAATGAACATAGTAAGACAAAATTATGATAAATATTATACCGAAGAATTTAATTTACATCAAATTGATGTTATATAGTGCAATACATATATCACAATATTTTAGCCCCTTAACCGCTAAGGTCAGATTTATCCAACAAACATTTTTGGGTCCAAATCGCCAAGGTGGGATTTTTTCGACCAAATAGCACTACTTGTTTAATCTGCTCTTTCTTTTTATTAATACTGAAGTAGTATTTGAAGTCTTAAAACAAGTTGAGGTCTGAACTACAAAAATAGAATGATAAGAACAAATGGAAGCACAAAAGTTTAAAACTTTATTTCTTTTCTTTCAAAGCTTAACTAACATTTAATATAACTAAGTTCGCATAAAAGTTAGGAATTTATTCTTGAATACAGCTAGATTCATGCCAAGCAAAGCTTTAGGTCAATTAATGGAATGTTTGCAGAAACTAGTACCCCTAACACGAACCAATATTGAATTCGTATTGTTTGCGAGTCGGAAATGTCATTGTCAAATGTGTACTGATTTTTAGTTCTCGTTGCGTACTTTGTGCCACTGCTTTCAAGTTTCCATATAAAAGTTGACATTGACATTTCGGTTTGCAGACTATTCGAATTCGATAATGGTTCATGCTAGGGGTACTGTTGCCTACTAATATCCGAAAATCAATATTTCTTTCAACAATAGTTTACAATAGCACTGGTACAATGGAAAGCTCAATAGATAAAAACTTATATTGACACTTGTAAAGAACTGAAAGAATGAGTTGAGTGCAAGGAAAATCTAAATGTAATGTTCATAATAAAATTACCTTGCAATCCCTTGGTGATGTAATGTATGTCAAGTGGTTGAGCCCAAACTACTTGTTTACGGTAATCAGGTTTCCCTGTTACAGTTTGACCTTCAGAGCAACCTGATATTACTGTCCAATTCGGTCCTGAAATATGGTATTCGATTAGAATCAATGCAATAATGACTCTGATAAGACGGGGGTCAAAGCGCTTACCAGCTTGGAAAGAATATCGACAAAACAGCGAAGAAGTCTCTTTGAAGTCACACGCACAATTCAACTGCCCCAATACATGCAGCTCTGCCATCAGATTGAAACTGAAATATTATTTATATATATCATCGACGTATTTAAGTTAGTTTAATTTATTTTGTGTAGGTATAGAATTCCGTTCAAGTCTAACCTCTTGACTTGACAGTTTGTTGTTGACAATTCGTAACTATAGCAACGGATGCGGAATTTAGTTTCGTTTGAGAATTTCAGACTGGAGAAGGTTCGTTTCGTTTCAACTATAAATTCTGTTAAATTAATATTTCATTTTGGTTCCTACATTTATATTTACGTTTTTGACGTTATTTAATAATATAAATATGAAAGTTTGTATGTTTGACTCAGTCACGCAAAAACGGCTGAACGAAAGATTGATGAAATGTGGCACACTTTAGTTTATTACATAAACTGAGATAGGGGCTGCCACCGGAGGCAAATGGGAATAAAAAAACTGAAGTCAGGGCAATGACTTCATTTCCATTTGCCAACGGTGGCAACTTCCGCGGGGATGACTGACAATAAATTTTCAATTTTTTATACTGGGTATATACGAAAACTGTAAGGTTAGGTACTGTGGGTTTCTCAAAAAACTAAAGTTAAAACGGGGATAAAGTCTAGTGCCTGGTTTAGTTTAGAGTTCAGACCGCCCTCGGCTAAATATGAATATGCGCCCCCCTGCCTGTTCTGTCCTACCCTACTTTCCATTAACTTACAGGTACAAATAATTAAATTACAAGTACAGAAGAGAGGTTACGTTAAGGTGTGACCCTAATAGGCGTGTGTTGCCGCGGGCGCTGAGTTGCCAAACGTATGAGAATTCTCACGTTTGAGATTTAGCAGTCTCTCTACATGATAAAGAGGTAAATAGATATCTCGTACACTTTGATTTGTGATTTGAACAATGTTGACTGTTTGTGTCATGTACACAAACCAAAAAAATATATAAAGTAAATAAATGTCCAATCCACAAAGGATCGACTCAGTAAGTACAGCTTTAATCACAGAACACAGAAACAGGTTTAATAATATGCCATCACAAAGTCACATTAAATTGAACTTTCAGTAAGTAGGTAAACGAAAAACGAAAGGAACCTAATAATTTCAACACTTACAATTTATTTATTCTAGTCATAAAAATAGTAGATTGTATGACAAGGGAGCAAAATAGTATTTTTTGGCGAGGGCGCTACTTTGAAGCACGAGCGAAGCGAAGGATTCTAGAATAACTATGATGAACTACCTAAGTAACTAACGTAGAATCCTGAGCGCAGCGAGGGATTCAAAGTACATCGCCCGAGTGAAAAATAAATTGTTCTCGAGTCATATACTCTACTTTTCATCCCCTTTCTATGAGAAAATAAATAAGAGACGGTTTTATGAAATACTGAATATATTTAATTAAAAGAAGACATATGAAATGAAGTAAAAATAATTACAAATTTATATTTATATTGGATACGCTAGCGCAATTATTAAAGGTTATTGTTACTGTTTTATTTAGGATCGATATTGTTGTCGATTCATTTACATTTTGAGTATTATTTTGTTATCTTAGTATCTGAGTGATGCTCAAGAAAAGGTACACAATCCTTTGATGTAGAAGGACGTGGCGACAATGGCATGGATGAAGTGTCTTTAGGTATTAATTTAATGTTTTCTGCAATGCGGGTCCTAGTTTTTTCCTTATTTTGAATAGAATCTTCGATGTAACCCTCTGCTACAGAGCTGGATTTCCACCCTCCGTGCCACTTACGAGGTACCTAAACAGTAGGGGAACCTAGGGACACTTGATCCCCCCTTTTGTTTTTCATCCCTAATTTCCTTAGTGACTATCCATTTTAAAAGATATTGGTACTGAAATACGTGAAATTTATTTGCCTATAATTGATGTAAGACCCAAAGATATAAGTGTCTAAATTTAATAGTTATTTGACTAAAAGTAAAAATAGGGAATGGTATCAAGTGTCCCGTATATACGCAAGACTTGATCCCCCCATCTGGATGACTTGATCCTGGGAGATTAAGTCTCTCATATCTAGGTTCACATGATACTATTACTAAGGAAATAAATAAAAAATGTTTTTAGAATATGATAAACTTTTTTAGATTGTTTTTAAAATCACATAACATAGGCATATCACACCGTCTCCATGCATAAATCAATTTCTAAATTTGAAACTTCCGTTTTGTATTAAAAGGAAGGTAGCTGTACCTTCCATAGTACCTATAGCATTTATAGCTGCGCACACAGTTACGAGCTGCCCACGTTCGCCGGGTGTTACCTTAGACACTTGTTTAATTCCTTAACATGCCACGATTTTTTTTGGTTTGTGAACTGTCGTAATGCCAGTTTCATCTACATTCCAAATTTGGTTCGGACCAAAGTTAAATCTCTGTAAAAGGCTTGATAAATTTTCAAAAAAATTGTTAACGTTGTGTCTGTTAAACGCCGTGGCGCGAGACAAGCTTGTGGCTTCGGGAACTCTGAGTGATAGTTCTTTGTGTCGGTGCATAAAACCGTAGAACCGTAGAAACCGGTGCATAAATCATAGGTGGCTTCTTCATTTTCGGACCATTTTAGCGAAACTTCCTTTTTATTTTCAATAGCATATTGAAATGCCAATTGTCGTACATTCTTAGGTGTTAATCCATGATACAATTTATTGGCCATCATTAGGTAATTGACAAGTTCACTCTCCTCCATAGTTGAAAAAATTTGTGAGTGACGATAATTTGGAGTGTAATCAATTTCATCAGTTGTAGTAGTACCTTTCCTCTTCCTCACGTACCTTTTCAGTGTCATAACGGCTAACCCGTACCCTTTTGCAGTACCACGAATACTCGCACCGGCGATGACATCGCCCACTGCCGATCGCAATTTTCCTTCATCGATTGGTACTCTTTTTCTGGCACCTTCTCTTGTTTTGTATACTATGGGCATATCGGTAATCTGAAATTAATTGAAAAATAAAAGTTAAGGGACACTTGATCCGGGAGAATCAAATCTCCCTTATCTAAGTGTACCAAGTGTACCCTGAGCAGTTTAAGGTTATAAACAAGAATATTTTCAAATGTCTATTAGATTACCACTTTTCTATGCTACAAATCGCTACTTATATAGATAATGACTCGAATTAAATTCATACACACCTAAAAACCATATTTACATTAATGTTTAATCAAAATGTAAACTTACGGAAATTTTCTCTCTGCAACAACAAACACTCGGTCGTCCGCAATTTACAAACGCGTCAAATTTGACAGGTGTACCAACTTTAGAAAGTTAGCGGGTACCATATACAACCGATGTTGGCACTATAAAATTTAATATTACTCATACAAGTTCTGAAAATTTCGTGTACCTAGTCTCCCGTAAGGATCAAGTATCCCCAATTTCCCCTAAAGTCCGCTCCAGAATCTGCCAAAAGTGTAGCGGGAAGTTCGGCGAAAATAATGTCCTGTGTATAGCTTGCAATCGGGTAATTTCAAATACATAGCGATTTCTATTAGGGGCATTGAAGATATTCTATTTTTTCCCATTATCTGTTTGAAGCACTTTCCATTTTGATATCTAATAAAAAATCTATTAGATGTTATATCAGAAGAAGGACGCAGGCTCTGATATTGTTCTACTATTCGTTTGTACTGGTCACAAATGACGCAAGGCCCGATCAATTTTTGTTTTTGTGTCAGTTAAATTCACTAAAAGTAATTCATCTGAGTGTTTTTTGATATCTTCAATTGTTATTTTTATAAGCTTGTTACTACGACAAGCTCCATGTATGCCGAATATTAAAGTCACCTGTAACAAAACAGAATGGAAATCAGACAAGTAGGTACAATAACACGTACACGTTTTAAAACACTCTGTTTATAGATTACAATGGAAAAATAAAAGATACATACTTTTGTTGCGAGAAATTCCTTATCAGGCGCGTCATTCAAAAAAGTCTCCACGTTTTGCTGAGAAAATACTTTTGATTTCTTTGGTTTGTGTCTTTCGGATAGTCTCTTCAGATAAGCTAGTAATTTTGAGTAGATATCAATTTTAATATTTTTATTGGTACCTATTTACTGTAGATTTAAGCATTGAGTATATACTCCAAAGGGTAGAAGGTTGCTTAGTTTTGGCCAATTCTTGAAAATAGGCCGTCGTCGTTCTGAGCCTACCACTGTGCCTTGTGTGTTGGTACGACTTGACGGCCGACGCCAGCACCAATGAGCGAGTAGTTCACTTCGAGTCCCCGACGTGTAAGCAGCTATCAACAGCTCTAGACGAATTTCCGTTACATCAAGTGAGAGTGCCCATTTTCTCTGGAAGATATCGTGAACCTTCTGACCTGTGGACTCCTATGTGCGATATATTGCCGGCAATAGTTTCCCAAGAGCGTTGACGAGCCCCGTTCTAAAGCCTAGTCCTCGGTACCCGTGGCGGTGTAAGGAGCGTTTGCGGTAAGTCGCCCAACCCCGGCTTTTATCATACATAAATTTCTTTTATCCGTTCGAACCGGATTGATATCTTCCAATTGTGTTGTTTTACAGTATTACGTACTTTTTACAACTTATTTTCAAATACGATTTGTTCGAAAGGGAACTCATCCTTGATGATTTAAAACGCACTCTCTAGTTCGCAGCGACAGATGTTCAACAATTTCGCTCGCGAACTACAGATTTAAATTCTCACCAACGTAAATTTAATAAAATACAGTCCAAAATTGAAAAAACCTACATGAAATTAAAAACATTTAACAAGGAGGAAAAGATTAAGATTCGTAACGATTTTAACGATCTTTACTACGCCATTATTACGCATTTAAATAATTTTAAGATGATGGATGAGGAGCAGCGACGCATGAGTCGTCCGTTATTATCACCGTTAATTCAACCGCTAGTTCATAGCAAAAATTTACCTACCTTGCCTTTGCCTAATTTCTATGGTGACCCTACCGATTGGCCATCATATTTTGATTTATTTCGTTCTTTAGTCCACCTGAACAATGCCTATACAGATGCGGAAAAATTTAGATATTTGTTACTCACGGTACATAAGGAACCGCACAATTTAATAAAGTCGATTCCTATCACGGATGAGAACTATTCAGTAGCCTTGGAACACAGGGTAGTATATCCGCTCCTAATAACATTTCAACTGGCTGCGGGGTATGGAAAGTAGGATCCGCTAAGTGTTTGTATATGAGACCAGCCTGTATACGGTAACTGTACACTTGGCATTTGTGAAATTAATTTATCTAAAATTAAAACATTAATTGGTAATAAGGGTTGTTGTTTACCCTTAGGCGCAATATTACAAGAAACAAAACCCCTACAACGCGTCGCCTCAGTATCGCCGATTCCGAAAACTGCAATGACTTGTTTACGTTTTATCATTCCCAACCGCTGCGCGCAACTATCAGTCATAAAACTAGCTTGACTGCCAGTATCTATAATACAGCGAACGGTTGAAAGTTTCGCCTCACCAACGTATACATCGATTAGCGCCGTAGACAATAGCACCGTAGTCGTACGAACTAACGGCGCATTGGAAGCGCAATTGTGAACAGCGTTATCAACGTTGGAAGCTAAAGGCGATGAGTCATGAGAGGCAGCGATGACCGGTGTGTCACACTGCACCGTAGGTGGAAGCGAGACAACATTATTTGCAGTTATTTTACTAATGAACGGCGACTGATTTAACTGGTTAGAAAAATGAATAAGACTATGATGCCGTTTGTGACACGTACGACAAACAAAACTTTAATTGCACTGATTAACATCATGTCCAAAATGCAAACAATTATAACAAATATTTTTATATCGTACTAAAGCAAATCTATCTTGTGGGGATAAGTTTAAAAACTGCGTACATTTTGTCAACGTATGTTGAGCATTACAACATAAACAACTCTTAAAACCCTGTTCATTAGATCGATTATTGATTGACGGATTCGAAACTGATTTGATGTTAGCAGCTAACGAACGGAATGAACGATGCGCATGCGCCTGCGTCGGTGACGGTTTGTCGTTAGGATTCGAACGGCTGCGCGGATTGGCAAAATTATTCGACTGCCCACAAGTGGAATTAATAATTTCGTCCGCCGATATTTCTCGCTGTAGGAAAGAAATCAATGTGTTAACATCAGGAATGTCGGATGAATTCGTTAATGAACGTTCATAGTTTTTTCGAATGTGCATAGGGATTTTACGTAATAAAATACTAAGCTCAGACCAAATAAAAAGTATAGACGGAGTCTGCCGAACCAAAAAGTGAAGCCGATAAAACTACGCCTCACCGTGTACATACACAGTTACACGCACACACATGCAACGAAACTACGCCTTGGCTTCCCAGTCGAGCTATCCCGACGCGCGGAGTGTGACGTAATAATAAATAACAATATTTATTAGAGAAAATGTCGAATTGTGTAGTGAAAACGTGTAAAAACCAAACTTCCAAGAATAAAAAACAGGATGGAATCACATTTCATACGTAAGTAAAGTTATAAACTGCTATTTTCAATTAATCAAAATCAAATTTGAGGTTGTCGCTTTGTAAACAAAATCTGAACGAAATGTTGCCATGATTATTCGTTACAGTTTTACCTTTTTGTTGGGTAGCGTGAAATATAACGTAACGTTATTTTATTAAATACATTGTGTGGCATACTTTTATATTATTCGAATATTGTAATGCATGGATAAACAATTACACGAAACATCTTTTTTCTATAAGTATTCGTATAAGTTTTTTGGGATGTAATACACATTATATATTATAGGTTTTTTTTTAAGATTTCCTAATCGAGATCAAGATCTAAAAGAGAAGTGGATTGCAGTCATTCGTAAGAGTAGAAATGAACCATTGTGGCAACCAGCTTCCCGCAGCGTGGTTTGTTCGACTCATTTTCAGAGCGACGATTTGTACTACACAACAAAAGGGTTACGTCGTGTAAAACAAAATGCATATCCAAAGGTATTTTTTTTACTATTAATATGGTTACTTAGATTAATTTATATTTTAAAGATTCCAATAATTTATTTGCTAACTGCTTATTGTTTGTATAAGTCCCACCATCTATTTTATTTATTTATTTAAACTTTATTGCCACAATTACAAAAATGGATAAAAGGCGGACTTAACGCTAAAAGCATTCTCTGCCAGTCAACCTTTAGGCATAAAGAAATCCACGAATGCGGCTATAATAATAAAAAAAAGTGATTTACTTTAAACATACACCAGTAAAAGTAACTACATAAATATTTATTTAAAAATAAACCTAAATATACATGCATAGAATACATTTAAATATATTACTTATATAAATATTTATAATATTATATATATATATATATATATATACATACACATACATAGACATAATTATTATTAACACCGTTTATAAAATATATTGATGATGAGACTGTGAAGGGAAATTGTGAGTTAAACTTAACGTTCTTAGCTTTCTAGGAGAAGTTCATGAACTTTCTTCTTAAAACTGCACCTAGTAGGTGACCTTCTAACGGAGTCAGGGAGGCTGTTCCAGAGTCGTGAAGATTGGAGGGCAAAGGAATCAGACATATAGCCAGAGTGAAAGAGAGGAAGATATAGTGCAAGAGTATCAGTAGAACGAAGTTGAAGTTCATGTGAGTCACAAAGATATTGAAATTTGGATCGTAAGTATTCTGGAGAGTGAGGGTTGAACAGGATAGAATATAGAGTACACAGCATTCTCTGCTGCCTTTTTTGACGTATAGGAAGCCATCTAAGTTGAGATCTAAACGCCGATACGTGGTCAAATTTACGCAGGCAGAAGATGAAACGAATGGCATTGTTGATGAGACGATCCAATTTGTTCAGAAGATCAGCATTCAGATCGGGATAGCAGACATCAGCATAATCAATGAGCGGGAATATGAGAGATGTTACAAGCAAAAATTTTGTGTTAATGGGGAGAAAATTCCTAAATCTGTTTAAAACACGAAGTGAGTAAATTACTTTGCGACTTACTTCGGCAATATGTGTGTTCCAGCTAAGAGAAGAATCGATGTAAATGCCAAGATTTTTGACACTTGTGCTAAACGGAACAATCGTGCCCTCACACACGACAGGCTGGAGAGACCCATAATCAATTTTGGCAATTTGTTTAGAGCCACTTACGATAATGGCCTGACATTTTGATGGATTTACCTTAATTCCAAAATCGGCGGACCAAGCACTGATACGTTGCAAGTTATGGTTTAACGTTTCGATGGCCATATCAACATCCTCAGCCGACGTCTGAGTATAGATTTGTAGGTCATCAACATAGAAATGGTAAAATCAGCCAAGCGAGAAGGAAAGGAGGTTAATAAAAACAGAAAAAAGTAAAGGAGAAATTATCCCACCCTGGGGTACACCAGCAATTAAATCGTTCCAATTAGAAAGGTTTTGCTCAATGCGAACCGCTTGTTGACGGCCACGAAGGTAAGAGGAGAACCAATCCAGTGACTTTGATGAGAAGTTAAGGGATTTAAGGATGGCGAGGAGAATATCGTGGTCAACCATGTTAAAAGCGTTGGAAAAGTCTATGAGTACTATGACTGTAACCAACTGTTTCTCCATGCCCATCCTGACATCTTCAGTAACTTTGAGCAGAGCCGTAGTAGTGCTGTGTCCAGGACGAAACCCAGACTGAAACGAAGTGAGAAGATTATTGGAAAATACGAAAGAGGATACTTGGTGATGAGCAACGGCTTCAAGAACTTTAGAAAGAAAGGGAAGGATGGAAATAGGCCTGTAGTTACTAAGTAGCTGAGGAGACGAGACTTTCGGCAGAGGAAGAACGAAAGCTTTACGCCAAGCTAGAGGAAAATCACCGTTGAGAAAGGAGTAGTTAATAATGTGTACAATAGCTGGCAGTATATAATCTAGAATGTTGAATCATTTCTCTGCTGACGTCATCCCATCCAACTGCTTTAGATTTGACAGACAGAATAATTTTGCGAATATCATCAATTGTCACTGGAGAAAAAGTAAAGGAATCAGAAAGAGATTGAGCTCTGGAAGTAATAGTATTGATAGCTTTATTCTTAATATGTGGGTCGAGAGAATTGGTTGTGGAGAAGTGATTATTGAAATCGTTAAGAGAGGAAGGATAGGAGTCAGTTTGCACAGAACAATTGCCCAAACCTAAAGAACGGAGAAACTTCCATACATTCGCCGAAGATGAGTTGCAGATATTTTCATGAAAATATTCTCGCTTTGCTGCCCTCACCATTCTGTTGCACCTATTACGAGCTGTCTTATATAAGGACCAGTTTTCCTCCCACCTGTCACGCTTGAATCGCTGATGAGATCGAGCATTCCGTGCTTTCAAGCGTCACAGGTCGGAGGAAAACTGGTCCTTATATAAGACAGCTCGTAATAGGTGCAACAGAATGGTGAGGGCAGCAAAGCGAGAATATTTTCATGAAAATATCTGCAACTCATCTTCGGCGAATGTATGGAAGTTTCTCCGTTCTTTAGGTTTGGGCAATTGTTCTGTGCAACCTGACTCCTATCCTTTCTCTCTTAACGATTTCAATAATCACTTTTCCACAACCAATTCTCTCGACCCACATATTAAGAATAAAGCTATCAATACTATTACTTCCAGAGCTCAATCTCTTTCTGATTCCTTTACTTTTTCTCCAGTGACAATTGATGATATTCGCAAAATTATTCTGTCTGTCAAATCTAAAGCAGTTGGATGGGATGACGTCAGCAGAGAAATGATAGTCAACATTCTAGATTATATACTGCCAGCTATTGTACACATTATTAACTACTCCTTTCTCAACGGTGATTTTCCTCTAGCTTGGCGTAAAGCTTTCGTTCTTCCTCTGCCGAAAGTCTCGTCTCCTCAGCTACTTAGTAACTACAGGCCTATTTCCATCCTTCCCTTTCTTTCTAAAGTTCTTGAAGCCGTTGCTCATCACCAAGTATCCTCTTTCGTATTTTCCAATAATCTTCTCACTTCGTTTCAGTCTGGGTTTCGTCCTGGACACAGCACTACTACGGCTCTGCTCAAAGTTACTGAAGATGTCAGGATGGGCATGGAGAAACAGTTGGTTACAGTCATAGTACTCATAGACTTTTCCAACGCTTTTAACATGGTTGACCACGATATTCTCCTCGCCATCCTTAAATCCCTTAACTTCTCATCAAAGTCACTGGATTGGTTCTCCTCTTACCTTCGTGGCCGTCAACAAGCGGTTCGCATTGAGCAAAACCTTTCTAATTGGAACGATTTAATTGCTGGTGTACCCCAGGGTGGGATAATTTCTCCTTTACTTTTTTCTGTTTTTATTAACCTCCTTTCCTTCTCGCTTGGCTGCTTTTACCATTTCTATGCTGATGACCTACAAATCTA